ACAGGGACAGTCGAGCAGTCGCCGCCACCGGTGCCGGATGACGTGCCGCTCCAGATCTCAGAGATGCGCGGCATCGCGCCGCCTGCTGACCCGCCGCCACCGCCCGCCGGCAGCGGGCGACGACGCGCCGCCGGCGGGCACGGTTCGCCTCAGCCCGGTCAGCAAGTACGGCCGCGTGCGGCGCGCGCGCTCCGACGCCGCCTACGTGAGCACGGACCGCACGTACGCGGCGCTAACGGGACAGGACCTGGCGCCGGCTCGGCTGACGGTCGGCTCGGCACGCCGCCGCGCCGCCGAGCTGCGCCGGGAGCTGGCCGCGCCGGGGGGCGAGGCGAGCGCGGCGCAGCCGTTCGACCAGACGCCTCGGCCGGCACCAAAGAGAAGGCAGCCAAGAGTCAGGTGGGTGCGTTGGGTGTGAGCTGGGCTATGGCGCGCGCGCGATTGTTAGTCGGGGTTTCCATTTCCTGGTTGTTCACCACTAGTGGATATGTTCCGCGGTTGTCCGTGGTTGTGGTGACTTGTAAACAAGTACGGGGTGGGGATCGATCGCCGACATTGCGTTACGAGTAACGTTGTAGATGGGCCTGAATGCATGCGCCTGTTCCTTTAGCGGACATGGTACTGCTTGGTGGAGCAAATGCGACCGTCTAAAATTCACTAAAAACGGCCAGTGTGGATAGCCGCGCCCGTCCTTGCCGCCGCTTTACGCTGTTGGTCAATCCTGCTCACCTAGCGGAGCTCCGTGGAAGACGTGCGCAACTGGTGGGCCGTTTGGACGTGAGCGTAGCGCGTGCGCCTGTGAATGCCGCTGGTGGTGGCGCTCCTGACGGGCGCCGTCTGGTGGCAGGCGTCACCGAAGCCGGCCCCGGCGCCCGCGCCCGACTCCAGCGTGCCTTGCGACTGGCTGGTGGGGGACGTGGTGTGGGCACGGGTCAGCGGGTACCCGCTCTGGCCGGCCATCGTCCTCTACGACACCGGGGAGGGACAGTTCACCAAGGTCGTCAGGAAGGCCGGTAAGTCGGCCCGTGCTGCGGGTCGGTGAGAGGCGCTTGTCGCCGTGCGCTGATAATTGCTTGGATTTGAAACCGGCGCAGCTCGAAGCGGAGCCCCATTGATCGCTGATCTCAGTTCAAGCGTCCCTTCGCAAGTGTGAACTGAGAAATTAAAGGCAGCATTTAGAAAGATGCGAATTATCACTTCGTCATTATACCTACTGAACAGTGGGCGCGCCTGTCGATCTGTATGAGGTTCTCCAGTTCTCTTTCGTTCTGATCTTTATGACGTTCTCCAGTTCTCTCTCGTTGTGATCTGCGTAACACCCCGTTAGGTTCCCCGACCTGAGTACCGACCGCGGTGACCTTGTGTGTCCTGCGTGGTCCCAACTGCACCCATGCCTGCACTGTAGCCTTCTGTCGTTCCCCGCCGTCGACAGGCTGCAAGACGTCGCGGCGGTACCACGTGCGCTTCTTCGGCGACCTGTGCCGCGGCTGGATCCACCCGAACAACCTGCGCCCGTTCGAGGGGCGCGCCCAGTTCGACCAGCTGGCGCGCGCCGAGCAGGCCGGGCCGCGGCGCGTCGCCGGCAAGGAGAGCAGCCAGTTCCGTCTCTCCAGCCGCAACCTGCCCAAGTGGCTGACGGGCGTGGCCGAGGCCACGGCCAGCGCCGCGCTGGAGAGGTACGGCGCCGCCCGGCCGCGGCGGTCGGCGTCAGCTCGGCAGCCAGGCGGGATGACTCGGACCGCCGGCCGCGTGGGCTGGCACGGGCGGAGACTGTGCTCAGATTAGTTCGGGGTGGAACGTTCTGTTCAGCTTGGATAGAGCTACGGTTGAAGGGAGTGTTCCACATTATGTGAGATTTTGGACCGGAATAACTGTCTGAAGACCTTTCGGTGCAGTTCACGGTCCTGGCCTTCTGAAGATCTAAACCACTGTAGTTTCGGAGCTACACGCCCGCGAAGATGGGGAGAGTATTCAAAGCCACCTCGGCATTCATGACGTCCATAATAACAGCATTCAAATGCTACCATTTCATTAGCCATGCGACGATGAAGGCCGAGGAAAATATGATGGTCGAGTCGATATCTTAAGCGTTCGTGAGTACGATTTCCAGGTACAACCGCCGTCCAGTGGCTTTCAATCAATGTTGTGCAAGGTACGATGACGTAATCAGACAGTGACGTTTCGAGGATGGTAGTTACCAAACAGAGAAGTTTGTTTTCTCAAGCAGTCTTTTCTTCTTAAAAGTATACCACTAGTTAGAGTGAGCTTGTTTCATCATATCTGATGGTTGCTTCATTATCTTCAAATGTGAAACATTTCTTTTGATGAGATTAGAGCTGCAGTTATTGTTTCATTGTACATTTTCTCGCCAAAGATTGCCCCAAGCTGTGATCGCTACAGCTTGAATGTCGAGGCGTCATGATGGCTTACAGCAGCCCTGTTTTCTACAGGTACGAGCGCGTAAAGCCGTTCGTGGCGCAGGACGAGCCGGGGGCCCCCGCTGCGGAGCCAGAGCCGGCTCCTGCACCCAAGCCAAAGCCGCGCCGGCGCAAATCCGCGCCCGCCTCGGTACAGGCGTCCGCCACCCCCGCTCCCTCCGCCACCGTCACCGCCTCCTCTCCCGCCCCTGGCACCGCCCCCAGCACCGCCCCCTCCCCGGCGCCGGCCGCCGCAGACCGACGGCCGACCAGGAGACGTGGTTCAGCCACTTCTGCGAGAGCGAGCGCGAGGCGGTGGCGGCGCGCCGGCCCGAGCTGGGCGAGGTGGCTGTGATCGAGCTTGCTGGCCGCCCGCTGGGAGGCCCATGGAGAGCGGGAGCGCGCGCGGTACGCGGCCCGGGCCGCGACCCGCCGGCCGGCGCGCGCCGCCGCCGCCGCCGACGGCCGGAAAGCTCTGACGCCGACGCTGACTCCGAGACCAGCGGCCGCGTGCGTGTCCGCCGCGTGGAGAAGGTCTGCCAGGTGAGATGGCGAGATGGTTGTGAGGGTGGGGGGATGGGGAAGTGCTGTTGTAAGTGGGGTGGGGGGGGGGGGGTAAATGGTCTGTGGGTTGAGCTGTCGGTTGTACTCGATCTGCTGTTGAGATAGTCGAATGGAGGGACTACGTCTGGCTAGATAGTTGGGAGGTGGTATGGTCTGTCGGGCCATTGGGCCAGTTATCAGGTGGAGAGGGTATATTCCAGGTGGAGGTATGAAGTGAAGAGGTCCGTCAGATGAGTTAGGTGAATACAAAATTGAACCAAGTGAGCTTGCAGGTTGGATGCCATCTGTGGGATTCCAGCTAGCTCTAATAGGTCTAGTGTTGTGCTAGTTATGTTGGATGCTCGCCAGCTCTTACAACTGTTTTTTTTAATCTTATTGGCAGGCTAGCCTTGTCATCACTAAATTGCACAGCGCATCATTATTGCTGTACTCATATGTTGGAAAGCCCCATCATTGACTGGACGCGCCAGCGCTGTCATCTCCGCTTCCTCCCACCATCTCTCCTGCGGCCTGCGTGCCCGCTGGGTCGGCGGCGACGCCCGCCGCTCCCCTCACGCCCCGCCCCTCGGTCGTCAGCTCTGCGAGGAGAAACGGCGAGCTGGGCCGAGAGCTGGTGCGCTGCGCCGGCTCGTGCGGCGGCGCCTTCCACCTGCGCTGCGCCGGCGCGCCGGCCTCGGCCGTGCGCTTCTCGTGCGCCGAGTGCCTGTCGGGCCAGCACGTCTGTTTCGTCTGCAAGTCGGCGTCCGGCGCGCTGGAGCGCTGCGGCTGGACGGGCCGCTGCGGCAAGCACTTCCACCGGGCGTGCCTGCGCCGGTTACCGCAGGCCCCCAGCTCCGAGCACAGGCTCGTGTGTCCGCTGCACGTGTGTCACACGTGCGTCAGCGAGGACCCGCGCCGGCTGGCCGCCCAGTTCAAGCCGACCGACAAGCTGTTCAAGTGCGTCCGCTGCCCGACCGCCTACCACGCCAGTGAGTGCTGGTGCCGGCCCTACCGTGGCGAGGTGCCCAGGTGCGTCCGCCTGCCGGGAGGTGTATGTCACGCGTGGGGGTGTGGGAGAGAGATTGTGTGTCTTATCTGTCCCGTCCGCCCTTGTCCGGCCCGAGTTGTGCCGGATCCTTTGATGTACCTTGGTGGGGGTCGTGAGCTTGGGCTATAGTTGTAGCCGTGCCGGCACGGACTATAGTTGAGCGTGCCGGTACGGACTCCACAGCACGGGCGCCACGGACTCCACGGCACGGGCCCCACGGATCCCACTGACTCAACTCCACAGTTTGCGTCCGCAGTGAAACCCGTTTTTGGACACGTGCGCAGGTGCTCGGTGTCCTCCGTTACCAGCTGGCCAGGCAGTCAGCCCGTGGTCATTGCGGTTCTCGTCACCTGTGCCCACACGTGGTCGGCTGTTGACGAGCCCGCCACGCTGCTCAGGCGAACGCTGCGTGGCGGCCGGGACGGAAATCTTGAACGCGTCACAGATCATCTGCACCAAACACTACGGCCGCGACACCAAGAGGGGCTCCTCTTCTCACCACATCAACACCACCTGGTGCTTCATCTGCTCCAAAGGTGCGGATCCGGCTTGCTGAGGACAGACGCTGTCCTCCGCTGGTGACCAATGACCGCTGGTGACCAATGACCGCTGGTGACTAATGACACTCGCTGGTGACTAATGACACTGTACAGACAACTGGTGTGTTATACAACTGTTGAGAAACCTCCTGTATGCGGAGCACTTTTATTTATTTGATTTAACATTAACGGTTGGGTCCTGTGTATGTAGAGCTATGCATGCTTATCTATGCTGAGCTATGAAAAATTCTGGTATGTTAAGTCATTCAGTTGGGAAAATTACTGTGCGCCGCTGCGATGGAGCGGGTGGGAAAACACCCGTCCGCCCGTGAGTAAACTGCGTCTGGAAGAGTGCTCAAGTGTGTGTGAAGTTCAGCGTCGCATGTCGGTTGAGCAGCTCCGCTTAGTCTCGATGGGACCATCGGCCGGGGTGTACCCCTTGTGAGGGTGTACCGCTCGGGCCGCGGGCTGACCGGCAGTCTGCGCGCCGTCCGCCAGGCGGCAGCCTGATCTGCTGCGAGAGCTGCCCGGCCTCGTTCCACGTGGAGTGCATCAACGCGCCGATCCCGGACGGCGGCTACGTGTGCGAGGAGTGCGAGAGCGGCCGCTTCCCGCTTTACGGCGAGGTGGTCTGGGTCAAGCTGGGCTTCTACAGGTCAGTGGCGGCCGCCGCCAGCCGCCGCCCGGTGACCCGGACGCTAGCCGGCCGGGCGGGCTGGGCCTTCGGCCAGGACTGCCCGAGCTGTGAGGGACCTCCGCAGGGAGGGGGCGGGGGGGGGGGGGGTGCTATTATGACTGATGGGTGTTCAGTGAGAACTCGTGTGGGACATCACTGATGGCAATGGCGCAAATGGGCGCCAAGTGATCTCAGAAGTTGGCGCGCTCTGATACACCAATCGTCGCTGTCATCAGCAGTGGCACATAGCGGATGAAAGCTATCGCGTAACACAGGGCGGTTAATGTTTGGAGAAACCACGTCCTATCTGGCCATCTTATCATTTAGCTATTTGTCCGGTATTCGTATACATCAGCCGGCACTCCGTTCGCATCGTTAAGACGCCCCACTCCCCACTATCTAGACGGCTCTGATAGTGACCGCTGAGCTCATCTCATGTGTGCAATAGAAGAATAGTCTGAGCTGCTGATCGTCTGCAACACTGCGGCCGCGCGGCCGCTTGCCTCAGGTGGTGGCCGGCGATGGTGGTGCCACCCAACGACATTCCGGAGAACCTTCTGCAGATGGAGTACAGCACGGGCCAGTTTGTCGTGCGCTTCTTCGGCTCCAAGGACTACACCTGGATGCGGCGCGGTCGCGTCTTTCTCTTCGAGGAGGGGGTGAGGGAGGCTAGTGTGTACCAGGCACCGTTAGTGTGTACCATCAACCGACGACTGGTATAACATACCAGTCGTCGCGCTCTCCTTGGACGGCGACGCCACGGTCAGCGCGTATGCGTTGCGCGTCTGCCAGCACGGGGGTCATTCGTGCGATGCCTTTTGGTTCCATTCAGTTTGACATTCAGCTTTGACAGACATGCTGACAGTCAGTTCCATTCAGTTTGACAGCTGAATGAATTAGCGGACGTCAGGCCGCGGATTCCATTGGTTCCATTGGCTCCATTCAGTTTGACGTGGCTGAATGTGTCGGCGGGCGTCAGGCGGTGCCGCGGTCGGAGAGGGCTTGGGAACAGAGCCCAGCGTCGCGGAGAGTACATGATCGGGGTCGTGCGGCGCAGCGGCGCCCGCAGTCGGGCCCGAGGCGCCTGACGCGGCGCGGGCCTGTCGGCAGGACTCGGTGGGCCGAGTGCACGCCACGGGCTCCAAGACGCTGACCTCGTCGTACAAGAAGGCCATGCAGGAGGCCACCGTCTACTACAAGCAGTACAAAGAGAGCCGCGAGAAGCAGAGGGAGGCGACCGACATTCTGGTCAGTGGGCGGGCGGCGGCACCGGTCGCGGGCGCGGCCCGGGCTCATGCGAGCGCCGCGGCGGGGGTTGGGATTGCGATGTGAACAGACGTTTGGAGCCGGGGAGATGGAATCGGGCAGGCTCGGGGCTGGGGGAAGGGGGGGGGGGGGGGGCGACGTAATGCGTGTCATTTGCCTGCCATTCCAAGGGAATGTTCATGAGTGGTGTCGCCCTCTCTTCACTTGTCTCACCTCACGGCAGCAAGCTCTGCCAAGCAGGCGTTTTGAGGATTGTCACTTTCACCCGCGATTTTGGAATCGAGCGTCAAGTGTCACGTATCGAGTCGCCAGAATACGTATACTATATTCTGATACGGCGCTTTCGCTCAAAATATGCATGCTATCAAAATGTATCGGGGTAAATAAGCCGATCAAAAAGAGCTGAACGAAGATGGATTCAACATCTGGGCCTTCCCATCACTTTCCACGGCATGGTTACACGTGGTGTGGCCGATCCGGTGAAGCTCTGAGCCCTGGCCCTGCACCGCGGCTGGGTCGCGATGATGCGTCTCCCGTGCCGCCTTCCCACACCCGCCTGACGCCTCGCTCCGGCCCGCAGCGGCCGCCGGCCTACATCCGGATCAAGAGCAACAAGCCGGTGGGCGGCGTGAAGCTGTCGAGCGGCGATGTCAGTCAGGCGACGGCCTGCGGCTGCCGGCCCACCGACGAGAGGCCCTGCGGCCCCGACTCATCCTGCCTCAACAGGTGGGCAAGCGGCCACGGTCCGCCAGCCGCCAGCCGCCAGCCGCCAGCCAGGGCACGCGACGGCCGCGGCAGGGCGGCGCAGCCGCTGTGGACGGGTGGGGTACACTGTCGGGCGCTGGGGGAGAGGTGTGGCGTGCGGCTCAGACGTGAGGGGACTCAGATGAGTGATGTCAGACGCCAGATGGCCTCTGCAGCGCCGGTGTGCTTCTCAGCTGGTGCTGGCCGTCCTCACAGGTCTGCCGGCGGCCGCGCGGGCCTTCCCACTTCCCTCGCCTCTCGCCGGGCCATCCCCTGCCCTTCGCTTCTCGCCGGGTCCTCCCCTGCCCCTCGCCGCCCGCCGGGCCCGTCGACTGACGGCGCGCCATCGCCGGCAGGATGCTCATGTTCGAGTGCCACCCGGAGCTGTGTCGAGCCGGCGAGCGCTGCCTGAACCAGCGCTTCCAGAAGCGACTCTACCCGCCGCTGCAGGTGGTGCGCACCAGCGACAAGGGCTGGGGTCTGGCCGCGCTCGTCGACCTGAAAAAAGGTCCGTCGCCAGCGGCCTGTGCGGGCGTCACGTGCCGATTTGTCGGCGCCGCGTGCTGGCCGTCGGCGGCGCCGTACGTTTATTGCAGCCGCCGTCAGAAGCCATTAGCGATGCATGCGGGCCGTCTGGCTAGTGTCAGGCAGGCGTGCTTGGAGGGTTGAGTCATTGCACTGCGCGATGTCTGTATTCCGCGGATCTCTGCAACCTCTTCATCGCTGTAGCCTTGGATGTCTCATGCTCCCGCGATCCAGTCGAAGTTTGGAGATGGCTGTCTTGCTCAATTTGGGTTCAGATGCGGTAGCCAAGATCAACTGCACGTCCCCGGTTCAGGCTTTCTTTGCATGTTTGACCTGGGGTACTTTAATTTTAAGTAGGCGGTTCTCGTGCACGTGGTGTCAGTTAAGAAGAAGCAGAAAAAAACGAAAACGTTGCCGTGGGTACGCTAACAATAGCTGGGTCAGTTAGGTTACCCTGTGGTCACATTTTCCGTTATACTGTGATCTCGTGGCCCTACCATGCTACCATACCATAGTAGGGTGGCTAGGCGGCCGGGCGGGGAGGGAGCGGGGGGGGGGGAGGGGTGGGGACGGCATGGCGTGGTGGCTGTAGTGTCTGAGCAGTGGACCAGTGACGAGTAGTGCCCGGAGCGCGCGCGTCACGTGCGACCGGCTGGCCCCAGGCGACTTCGTGATCGAGTACGTGGGAGAGGTGATCAGCGAAGCGGAGCTGCAGCGGCGCGTCGAGTACAAACACCGCATGCAGGACGACAACTACTACTTCCTCACCGTCGACAAGGACCGCATCTTGGATGCCGGGCCCAAGGGCAATCAAGCCAGGTGGGCGGCCGGGCGGGGCGGCTCTGCAGGGATGACGCTGCCCCTGGCTGGGACGGCGACGGACGGCTTACCCGCTGGGTCAGGCTGGAGTGCTGGGAGGCCTTGGTCGCCGGTGTACGGCTGGGACGGCTGCGGACGGCTTACCCACTGGGTCAGGGTGGAGCGCTGGGAGCCCTGGTCGCCGGTGTCGGACTGGGACGGCGGCGGACGGCTTACCCGCTGGGTCAGGGTGGAGTGCTGGGAGGCCTTGGTCGCCGGTGTACGGCTGGGACGGCGACAGACGGCCGACCCTGGGTCAGGTGGAGTGCTGGAGCCCTGGTCGCCGGTGTCGGACTGGGACGGCGCGGACGGCTTACCCGCTGGGTCAGGGTGGAGTGCATGGAGCCCTGGTCGCCGGTGTCGGACTGGGACGGCGGCGGACGGCCGACCGGGGTCAGGCTGGAGTGCTGGGAGGCCTTGGCCTGCCGGTGTCAAGCTCCTGTAGTACGGTATTCTGCTGCCGCGCCAGCGACTGAGTGGTAGTGGCGCCACGTGGTGGTCGGTGGTGACCCAGGGGTTTGGTTCGGTTGGGGGAGGGGGATGTAGGGAAGGACAGTAATTGCCATTTTTTATTTTATTGCATTAACTGTTGCATTACATACATTACATTACATACATATATTACATTAACTGTTAATGTGAGATGATTTTAATGCATTCTAAAAATGTTATCTTCTGATTGCCCACTTCCATGGCTGTCTTGCTGACGCCCGTCTCCCTCCCTCCCCACCGGTTGGGCAGGTTCATGAACCACTGCTGCCAGCCCAACTGCGAGACGCAGAAGTGGACCATAAACTCTGAGACTCGGGTGGGGCTGTTCGCCATCACCGACATCCCGGCCGGCGAGGAACTCAACTTCAACTACAACTTCGACTGTGTCGGCACGGCCAAGAAGCGGTGCATGTGCGGAGCGCCCACTGCAGCGGCTACCTGGGAGACAAGGCGCTCAAAGTGAGTCCGACCGGGGGGGAGAGGAGAGGAGAGGAAGAGAGAGAGGAGAGGAGAGGAGAGGAGAGGAGAGGAGAGGAGAGGAGAGGAGAGAGAGGAGAGGAAGGAGAGGAGAGGAGAGGAGAGGAGAGGAGAGGAGAGGAGAGGGGAGGAGAGGAGTGGAGAGGAGAGGAGAGGAGAGGAGGTAGAGGAGAGGTCGGCCGAGGAGAGGCAGAGGACAGTGTTGGGATTTCGCACTTTGGGAGGAAGAGGGCCGGATCTCCCAGGGGGGAGACGTCCCGGGAGTGTCCCGACGGAGTACCGGCACCGGGTGGGCCGGAGATGGGAGCGGGTGACGTCCCAGTGAGTGTTCCCGAGGCGGGGTACCCCGACCGGTTGGGCCGGATCTTCCAGTGGGGGGAGACGTCCCCGGGAGTGTCCCCGGCGGAGGTACCCCGCACCGGTCGGGCCGGATCTCCCCAGTGGGGCGGGTGACGTCCCCGGGAGTGTTCCCCGGCGGAGGTACCCCGCACCGGTCGGGCCGGATCTCCCCAGTGGGGCGGGAGACGTCCCCGGGAGTGTTCCCCGACGGAGGTACCCCGCACCGGTCAGGCCGGATCTCCCCAGTGGGGCGGGTGACGTCCCAGGGAGTGTTCCCCGACGGAGGTACCCCGCATAGGGGGCCACGCTATGAGCTTTGCCGACGCCGAAAGCGAACATGACAGACGAAGAAGAAGTGCGAAACCATGCTGGTGGGTAGTTCCTCCACTCATGGGGCGAATGGAGATGAAGGATTACAAACCGTGAGATGTGGGACGAGAAGCGTGTTTGGATCACTACAGGTGCGCTACGGCCGGTATTTGTGCATTCTTGTACATGACTTAAGATTTCGCGTCATATTTTACAAAAAATATTGGGTATTTCGGTCGCATGAGAGCAGTCAATCGTCTAGACCCCACGACATCGGATGGGAAGCTAACGAAAGAGAAAGACGTCTAAATTTGATGAGTTCAAGTGTTACGTTGCCAAGCAGTGAACGTTTTGTTCGTTTTCTACCGGGAAATGGGCTACTGAAGAATTACGTGGATGCATGCTGCAGGCTTTTGAAATCCAGTGGTGTTACATTTTGTATCCGAATGGGTGCGCATCGGAATAGACTAGGAAAGCTTGTCAGAACTGAGGTTTTACAGCATTCTGTGATTCAAATTCTAGCATATGGGGACTTTGGTTTCTGTTTGGACTCAACATTGATATATTTCTGAATTAATTAAATAGCATTCAGTCCTGCATTTAAACCTTGAATAACACCGATAGATCAATGAAGCAAAGGACCTGTGACCTAGTCCGACGGCGAACCAGTCTATGCCCGATATCTTTCTGTAGATTATGAAGGACAATATTGGCCTAGAAAGTATTTGAAATACGGATATCCACGTTTGCTTGATATCCGTGATGATGCCGATTTTTACTTGTTCACACAAGTTAAAACCTGCCTTTCAGCCTATTAATCTTTGCTGTTAAGATTTAATTATGGGCGCTTATGCCATATATGGGCGCCATAGTGACTGCGCGGTCGAGGCGCCCTTAAGCCCCAATACTACTACTACTAAGATTTAATTTTTTAGCTTGATATATTTAAACTCGATTCCAATCCTACAAATCCGAATCCTCAAGTGTCGCAGGGGTGTTGCATGGATGTTTAGGTGCCTTGCACTTCAAAATTTGGAGTTGTGGGTTGGCCCACACCAGAGTGGATGGACATTTTTTCGCAACAGTTGAGGTCACGTTTTGCCTTGCGTCAGGCTATAAGAGCCAGCAGGTCAGCAATTATTGTTGAACCTTGTGTTCTAGTCGTTCAGATTTGGCTCCAGTTTTAATGAAGGGAGGCTCAGGAAACTACTCCGAAAGGGCGTAAGCTCTGACTAAATTCCAGATGAGCGTGTTCTCTCAGTCTTCCAGCGATTGTGCTCATTACTCTGCTAAAGGTTTCGGAATAAAGGTGACAGTATGGAAAGATCGAATATTCGGGTAACATGCAGGCCCAAAGGATGATCTCTCGGAGGCTTCCAGCTGTAACCAGATAGGTTAAGAGCATATAGAGTGCTCTTGAGAGAGTTAAATGATAGGAATGGTGAGCAGTTTTTCATTGTTCATGGAATGAATTAAAATAATGTCAGCATTGGGTGGGTCCCGCAGCCGTGCTCCCCGTGTATGGACGAGATTTCCGGTCAGAGTCGGGTGTCCCTGCTATCTCACGCACGGACGAGATGTCCGGCCAGAGTCGGGTGTCCCTGCTATCTGACGCACGGACGGGATGTCCGGCCAGAGTCGGGTGTCCCTGGTATCTGACGCACGGACGAGATGTCCGGCCAGAGTCGGGTGTCCCTGCTATCTCACGCACGGACGGGATGTCCGGCCAGAGTCGGTGTCCCTGGTATCTGACGCACGGACGAGATGTCGGCCAGAGTCGGGTGTCCCTGCTATCTGACGCACGGACGGGATGTCCGGCCAGAGTCGGTGTCCCTGCTATCTCACGCACGGACGGGATGTCCGGCCAGAGTCGGGTGTCCTGCTATCTCACGCACGACGGGATGTCCGGCCAGAGTCGGGTGTCCCTGCTATCTCACGCACGGACGGGATGTCCGGCCAGAGTCGGGTGTCCCTGGTATCTGACGCACGGACGAGATGTCCGGCCAGGTCGGGTGTCCCTGCTATCTCACGCACGGACGGGATGTCCGGCCAGAGTCGGGTTCCCTGGTATCTGACGCACGGACGGGGTGTCCGGCCAGAGTCGGGTGTCCCTGCTATCTCACGCACGGACGGGATGTGCGGCCAGAGTCGGGTGTCCCTGCTATCTCACTCACGGACGAGATAAAAGCAGCTGGACGCTATGACATCCAACCGGAGCGTTTCGCGCCTGCAAGCCGAGAAACGGCCTGGGCGGTGTGGGGCCTGGCGGGGTTTTATTCTATGTTCGTTTTCGTCCGTGCCGCTACCAGTTCGTGATCGTTCGTGGTGGAGAGTTGCAGGAGGTGGGTGAATCCGGTCAATGCGGCTGTTGTGCAGGACGGACTGGAGGTCGAGAGGTTAGTCAGGGTCCTATGCGAGGTTACGGCCCGTGCTCACAGTCAGCCAGCGCGCCGAGCGTCGCCGCCGCACCACCCAGCGCTGACGGCCACTCCCACCGCGCAGGTGCTGAAGACGACGCGCGACGACAAGACGAAGCGGGCGAAGCGGCGCCGCCGGCGACGGCCGGCCAAGCCGCGCTCCGAGGACGACTGCTTCCGCTGCGGCCTCGGCGGCCAGCTGATCCTCTGCGACTTCGCCGACTGCCCCAAGGCGTACCACGCCAGCTGTCTGCAGCTGGACCGGGCCCCTTACGGTGAGAGGGACGGCGGACCTCGGCCCCATCGTGAGCTGTATCCAGATACGTGTACTACTGTCAGGCTAGAACGCTTATTGCCTGCTACTTAGAATATAAGTGTGGAAGGTACTCGTATTAGGTTTGCTTCTTTTTGTTTCGTGGCTATGTCTGTTGAATCGTTTCACATCCTCGTGGTATTCTTGCCTCAGACGTTGATTGCAACACTCATTGTACAACGCTAACGACATCCCGTGTTTGTTGAATGCGTTACTCCCTGAACGCACGAAGTGTCGGCCTTGACCCGGATGATGCCGAGTCGTCGCCGCGCTGACGGCGGCCCACGTCGGCAGGCAAGTGGGTTTGTCCATGGCACCACTGCGACATATGCGGACAGCGGGCCGTGCAGATGTGCGTCCAGTGTCCCAACTCGCTCTGCAAGAACCACCTGAACACGAGCATGGCACACCACCCGGAGCTGGGCGACCTGTGCGACGACCACGAGCCGGCCGAGGTGGCGCAGGTGAGGGCGACGCCGCCCGCTCCGGCTGGCCGCCACCGCGGTACGATGGGCGGCCGGGCAGAGATGAGGCAGGCGGGGATATGGGTCCGCTGACTGTTGACTGGCAACCCCGAGGCATGGCGCCTTTGGGAGTGGTGAGGCGCAGTGTTATTCTCGTGCTAGTTTCGACTCCGGTCGCGGCTGGATCACGAGCCGCTTGTCGCGTCGTGGGGCGGTGCGCTGCCACCGACCGCACCGCCCTCTCATCCGTCCCTGTTCTCCCGGCCGTCAGATGCTGACCGAGAGGGCGCGGCGGCGGGAGGACGCGCCGGAGCCGCCGCTCAAGCGGCCGCTGGCGGACGGCGACGGGGGCGACGCCAAGCGGCCGCGCTCGGAACCGACGTCGACGGAGGGCACGTCCGAGAGCGAGTCGGCCGCCGGCCTGGGCTGAGTGCCGGCCGGCCCCGGGCCTGGTCTGCTGTCAGGGCGCGGAACAACCAGACGCCGCCCAGGTCCGATCTGGTCTGGCCTGGCCTGCCCTGGTTTGGTGTGCTCTGGTCTGGTCTGGCCTGTTCTGGTTTGATCCTGTCTGGTCTGGGCTGGTCTGGTCTGGTCCGGCCTGGTCTGGTCTGGTCTGACCTGGCCTGGCCTGGCCTGGCCTGGCCTGGCCTGGTCGGGTCGGGTCGGGTCGGGACATGGGACGAGCGAAACGAGTCCGGTCCAGCTCCTGCCTGATCGGGACGCGGGACGATCGGAGACAGCCCGGCTCTGGTCTGGTCTGGTCAAGGCCCGGGCGGGGCGCACGCTTCCCGCTTGGGTCTGGTGGCCTGGCCTGGCTGGGACGCGGGACGGACAGCCGCCGGCCGCCGTGTCGCCGTCATTGCGCATTGTGCCATGTGTTGTGTGGGCTCCACCAGTTGCTGTTGGCCGGAAGCGGCGCGGATGTCGCATGGTCTTATTGTCCGATTTTGAGACATCCTCCGGCCCAAAGCCGTCGAGCGCGCCCATCTGCAGTGTAGACGACTGACAGCTCTTTTAAGAGTGTACCTCTGCCGATGCCACCCGCTGCGTTTCATCCACTGCTGCAGACTTCATTGAATGGCGGACATAAGTGTAAATACAAATAAAAACGAATCCCAGACCTTTGCGCTGCCGATCGCCATGTTGTTCTCACTCGTGTAGATGGATGCAGCTCCTGACGTACTGGCCGCGACTGCAGATGTGAGGGGTCGTAATAAAACCATCGTGGCATTGATCGTTGAGCAACAAATAAAAGAAGATGACATGCTAACTGGGCCTTCGCTGTAGACGGCTTATGATCCTGTTCGCCCGATTTTGAGACGTTCCTGTCGCTGAAAAGCTGCCTAGCGAGGTCACTTGCAGTGCAGACGACCGATAGCTTTTAAAGGTGTCGCTCCAACTGTTGTCATACTCGTGGCATGAGGTCGCGTTACCAACGTGCAACATTAAGTTTATGATTGACTGGTTAAAAGAGCGGGTTTAGCCCGCGGTCTCGCGTGGGCGATAAGCGCACGGCGAAACAGCTGCGAATCTCGAGCCTCACGCTGGAGCGTGAGGCGCGAGGCTCTCAAAGTGAGTTGGGGGAGGGGGGCGCTTGTCACTCGGGAATGACTCAACTCACTCCCAAAATGCGCCAGCAAACTGATCTAGATTTGTTAGCGGCAAATTAAACGACCAACGATTCCGGATCCTCCGGATTTTGCCCACTCTCTTAAAGTTAGGAGGGGCTGGAATCTAACTGGCTGGGGAAATACACCATTGCTCTCTCGCGACTGCCCGCGAAGCATGCTGCGGCCGTCTGCTCGAATAGCGGTTGCCGATTTTCGCTGAAGGTGTAGGGCAGCCGTCGACTCTACCGCGCGACCCTGCCGCTGACAGCCTCTGCCAAGCGGGCGGCGTCTGTCGCTGTCGTGCGGTGGCAGACGGGATGGGACCGGGTCCCGCTCGTGGCGGCGCGCACCCTCCGGTCGCCGCCGGGCCGAGAGGACAACGCAGCGCGATGTACCGCGTCACAGTCGCCTCACGCCACCGGCTCGACGGTCGCGTCACGCGTCACGCTCGCGTCCGCGGCGTCACGACGTCACCGTCCAGCGACGTCTGCGGTGGGTCGAGAATCGGTCCGCCCGCCTCAGCGCGGCCGGCCGGCGGAGCCGAGGCGGCCGCGGCAGACGGTTCTGCTGACGGCTTCGCGGCGGAGACGGATTAGCTCCTTCAGGGAAGGACCTGGAGGAGCCGCGCCTCGCGCTCTGGGTCGGCAACTGACGACGGGAGGTGCTGATGATGTGTGGGCTCCGCTTGGTCGGAGAAAATCCGCCGCCAAAACCTGCGCTTTGCATGTAAGTGCGCACGTGACGTTTAGTGTATTAGCAGATCGGTAAGCGAAGAGGCCGCCACTGCGGGAGACACGGGCGCTATGGTCACCAGCAAGGCCCGGCTAAATGGAATCGGCCACTAGGCGTAGCGAGACAGGTCGCGGCGCTGCGGGCAAGGGAGTCGGCAGTTGTTCTGGCGCCCGCGTGCCGCACACTGGCTAGGGTGGCTCCCAATCCAGCCAACGCGTCACACGTAGTGTTGGGCAGGGGGGGGGGGGGCAGAAGCCCACTTAGCACGACGCCAATGGAAGCACATCTATAGACCTGGAGCGGTACCGGACAGCCTCATCACAATGCGACGGATCTCACTGTCGGGTGGGGCGGCGTCACGTAGCACATCAGCACACATCAGGCCCGACCACCACTGGGGCCTGAAGCACAGAGCTCGTCCATAAGAGCCTCACTAGCACGCAAAATTCGTGACCTCCGCCGACCTCTCCGCATCCCGCGGCGGCTCAGCAGGTCACAGGCCCGCTGGGCGGCCACCGGCACACCGCGGGCGCTCCTGTGGCGGCTGGTGCCGGGAGAGTTCGAGCCAAAGGTGCGCTGGTCGGCGACAGCTTCAGCAGTGGTGCGGCGCCGGCTGGTTACCTGGTAGGCGGGCGGCTCTCACACCGCCTGCCGCCGCGGAGAACACCGATACAGAGGCAGCCGGGGCGCCCGCACCGCTCATCTGTGTCGGAGCAGTCGGCCGGTCGCGAGGCTTGAGTGGCCGCCGGCCGACAGATGGCGGCGATGCTGGTATGATCTCCGGCGAGTGGTGGCAGCCGCTTACAGTTCTGACCTCGAACTGTTTAGGCTTGCGCTTTTTAATAAATAATATTCTGAAAAGGAAACGCCCCGGTTAGCGTCACCTGCGACAGTGCCTTTGCATGTTTGAGGACATTTTAAGACTTACAAGCTTGCTTCAAGGTTCCAGCAGCGGGGACACAGCACAGTAACAATGAATGGCCTCATTCTGCAGTCTGGCGTGGTTACGAGATGTCTGGCCAGGTTCCATCAACAGGTCAGACCAGATGCCGTCAGTGAGCATTCAGGACGAAGCTTAACATCTGCTGACGGCCACCCTCTCCCCATTCCCGGGTCTACAGAGTGGCCACTGCCAGTCAACTGAGCAGCCGCCGACGGCTGCTGCCCGCTCCCAACCCCTCACCGGCCGCTCTGACCGGACACCGTCGACAGACACAGCGGACTAGGCCGAGCAGCCGCCAGCTGTCCACCCGACTGACCGTTGGGCCGGCGGCAGGAGCTGCCCAGCCAGCTGGGCGAGCAGTTGCACTCGCCGCTGACCGGGTCACAGGGCGTGCCCTCCGAACAGCGGCAGCGGCGCCGGCAGGCCGGGCCGTACCGGCCGGCGGGGCACGGCTTCTCGCACGCCGCCCCGGCGCGCCCCGTCGGACACGGGTACGCCCCAGTGGCCGGGTCACACGGGGTGCGCGCGCACGGCAGCCGGCAGTCCTGGCCGAATGTGCCTGCCGGAGCGGACGCGGGGTGCTCAGGCGGTCTTCGATGGCCAGTTGGTCGCGGTGCGGCGGGCAGGGTAGGAACCCCTAAGCCTCTTCGAAGGATTTCACGTTACACACGGCACCATGATTCAAGGAACAGATAGTCAGCGGGATGGTCATGTGACCGTTTCCAGAGATGTCGCTAAGGCATGCCGGCGATCTGTTGTTCAAGATCGCCAGATACACGTCTGGGTGAATACATGCATGCACCCAGTCATGTGTGTATGTGTAACATGCTGTCAATGCTACATCGAACTGCCGCTGCCGTATCGTGGCCTTTGTTTCACGGGGTCTTCACTCCACAGCGGCCTCAGAAAGCGGTCAGAACGACAGTCAACACACTCTCTGCTGCTGTGCATTATACGGAACGCCCGTTTGCCGCTGAAATGGACCTTCAGCTTTCCAGATCTGACCCGAGGGCCCAAGCACAGAGGACCTGTGCGGCCGCTGGGCCCGTCCAACACCATCCAGTGCCCCTCTACCAAACTGGTGGGGGTGGAGACAATGACAGCACAGTCCCGCCCGAGCGTCATGCTTACCCTGCGGGCAGACGTCCTGGCAGAGGTGGCCCATGTAGCCCGGGGCGCAGGTGCAGCCGCCGGTCACGGGGTCACAGCGGCCGCCGTTGTAACACCAGCACACCTGCCGACCAGCGTCACAGTGGTCATGACTGGGGAGGCGGCGACCGGCACAACCGCAGCCCAGAGTCACAGTGGTCATGTCTGGGGAGGCGGCGGCCGGCACAACCGCCGCCCAGTGTCACAGTGGTCACGTCTGGGGAGGCGGCGACCGGCACAACCGCCGCCCAGCGTCACAGTGGTCATGTCTGGGGAGGCGGCGACCGGCACAACCGCCGACCAGCGTCACAGTGGTCATGTCTGGGGAGGCAGCGACCGGCACACCTGCCGCCCAGCCTCACAGTGGTCATGTCTGGGGAGGCGGCGACCGGCACACCTGCCGCCCAGAGTCACAGTGGTCATGTTTGGGGAGGCAGCGACCGGCACACCTGCCGACCAGCCTCACCGTGGTCATGTCTGGGGAGGCGGCGACCGGCACACCTCCGCCCAGCGTCACAGTGGTCATGTCTGGGGAGGCGGCGACCGGCACACCTGCCGCCCAGAGTCACAGCGGTCATGTCTGGGGAGGCGGCGGCCGGCACAACCGCCGCCCAGAGTCACAGTGGTCATGTCTGGGGAGGCAGCGACCGGCACATCTGCCGCCCAGCCTCACAGTGGTCATCACTGGGGAGGCGGCGACCGGCACACCTCCGCCCAGCCTCACAGTGGTCATGTCTGGGGAGGCGGCGACCGGCACAACCGCCGCCCAGCCTCACAGTGGTCATGTCTGGGGAGGCGGCGACCGGCACAACCGCTGCCCAGAGCCACAGTGGTCATGTCTGGGGAGGCGGCGACCGGCACAACCGCCGCCCAGCCTCACAGTGGTCATGTCTGGGGAGGCGGCGACCGGCACAACCGCCGCCCAGTGTCATAGCGACTGCTTTGCTGGCTGAGGACAGGCGTCGGCCTGACTGAGACAGAAGCGCGACTGAGTGCAACTGAAATATTCACACGGAGTGGTAAACCCACCAGAGGCGAAACTTCCCCCGAAATTGCGGATGTAGATGTTATGTCTTGGCCCATTCTCTGTATGCAACACTATATGCCTAAGGCTAACCTATTGAAAGTTCCGTACACACAAATATCCGTACACACAAACGACCGCGGCTGCGCTGAAAACAATCTATGACAAGCATCATGCAGCGACGCACACCGTCACCGAGTCGACCGGACCGCCCTGCGCCTCGCCCCCCCCCCCCCCCCTCCCCCCGGGCGGCCCGGACTCACCTTCGCACAATGGCGACCGTGGTAGCCGTGCGGACACCTGGACGCGCAGAGCTTGCCGTAGAAGCCGGCGGCGCACGCGCACGTGCCGGCCACGTGGTCCAGCACGCCGCCGTTGCGGCAGCGGCCCCGGTACATGCAGTTGGGCCCGTACCGGTTGCGGCGGCAGGGCGTGCGGCACCTGGTGTCGGAAACGAGTAAACTCAGCTCTACGGCGCGAACTGAATGACATGGTTATGAATCGAGGGTACTTGCGTCGACTTTCTACGGACTATTGCACGGACTTTTGGACTATTGTACGGACTTTCCTTGGTACGGGCGGCTTTCACACTTACTGAGCGTGGAGACTTCGATTCCGAGCAGCCTCGGACAGTTGCAAGTCGGTTCAGATTCAAACGATCTAAATTACGCAGTTAAAACAAACTCAATCTCGTAATGGTATTGCCTCAATACTGGACCAACTACGACTCTAAAGACAACGTTAGCGGTTTGAAATGTAACTCACGATTTTCTTTGGCATGCAACATGCGCGTTACCGGAAGTCCACGACTTATGGAGGAAACATATGAAGGCGCCGATGGTGTGGGAGTGCAAACGGATGGTGGCGCGAATTCACAATTACGACCAGAAGATCAAAACGTAAGCAAAGGTTGGTTGCTGCCGCCAAGTAGAACGCAAGAGCCCTGTTAGAAGGCATTACTCCCTATGCCCTCCACCTATAGTGGTGCATTTCACCTTAACTTTGACTACATATATCACTTCTACATTTGGATGAACAAGCCGGCCATTGTGAACAGTCAAAGACATTGGAGCCTGTCATACACACATGCTACGTTGGCATAAACTGTAACGTGGCAAGGTCTGTCAAGACGGCTCACGACTCGCCCGTACAAAAGGTTCTTCAAAAACATCGAAAATGATGCGTATGACACATATCGACGAGTTGAACACAACGGCGTGCTGAAATGCTTGGTGCACGCGATAATTTGCTTTCAGTGGTTTCAGCTGATCATCCCACTAAAACATGGAGGAGTTTTCAGGGGGACGTACCTTATCATCGCCATCGGGGGATTCGTCTTGACCTGCCCTGCCCAAACATGGCATCCACGTCCTGTCTTCGCCTAGCCCACCGGAGCTGACTCTCGAAATCATCGCGAAACAACCATGTGTGCACTGCGTCTCAATGGGTTGCGCACGGCGCATGCTCAAATGCTTCGTAATGGGGTAGTGTCCTTTCAGAGGTGGCATTCCCATGTTCTCAAAGGATCTCGTCAAGCGCATAAAATTAAACTTCATATTCTCAGACGGCTGGTAGCATTGGGTTGAGCTTGCAGCTGCCCTTATCTACCCGACGGTATCTCAATCAGGTCTCGCTTTGATTATGCACGAGTAAGCTCAGTTTTCCACCTCAGAACTCATGTGACCCTAATTGACTTTTCCATGACGTTGAATGAAACTGCTTTCGATGGCCTCTACGATTTTGTATTTTTGGCATATGGGCATGTACGGTGATGCTGACAACACAAGATTGCCTACAAAAGATCGACCGGGAGTGTTGAGTTTCTCACAGCCATCCAGCTGCCATCACTGACTGAACTTCTGAAACTCACCCCGTGCGCCCATCTCACATATCAAACCATTTCTATCAACGCTCTACGCTTCAATGTGCCCTCAGTTAACTTGCCTCTAGATCGCTGGTTCACCTAAGCGCGAGCCAGGTCATCTTTTCACGCAATATATAAGCTTTCACTGACTTTTCATACTGGTTTACGTGCATACCTATTGCGTCCATGCGATTCGGTGAGAAACTTAGAAATCCCGGCTAGTCCTTTGTCGGGAATCGCCACTCTATTATGACTGTCAGCATAAGTATTAAAGCGAAAAATCTGCTGTTGGAGTCCAAATAACTTAAGAGCAGTTGATAACAGACCACAAACCCTCGTATTTCCCGCATCAGTGCGACGACAGGAGGGTTTATGTGACGCTACGGTACAGACCAGACCATCGCGCGTGGTGTCGCGCGAACAAACTCGCCGCCGCCCCATAGCTGACCCTACAGGGTCAGCTATGGCGGGGTCACATTGGCGGCAGTGGCGACTGTCGGCTTCCGATCATTTGAAACCTATCGGGGTGACGAGGAATATCGACTGCCGCATGATACTCGACTTCATATTTGCCAGTTGTGAGGAGACGGACCGAGTGAGGATAAAAATACAACGACTAGAACAACTCGGAAATACGAATTGAGCATGGTTCTGAAACGAGGTTCCTGCGCCGCTGTTCAGCTCTGGCGTTACATCAATAACAGCGCGAGGAATAATAAGTGACAAGCAGAGCTTGAGTAAACATCTCGCCGCCAATGTGTACACATTTAAACGGTGGAAAACCGGCAGGACAGTTTGTCAACCAAGCTCTTACAAACTGACAATGCATGAATTCAGAGCCGAGGCAACCAGAACAAGCGCCCGCCGGAGAAAACGCGGAGTTTGTCGACGGCCTCTTGCCCGAGGTTTTCCCTGACCTGGAAGAATGACACCAAGATCTGGCCTGGCTCAGCGGGCTGGTCGACCTGGCACCGGAAAACTTCGCCGCTGACGACAAGAACTGCAAGCCTTTGGAGAAAAAGCGTGGAGAGACAGGGACCTGCAAGTCAGAGGACTGACCCAGAGCCGGAGCAATTGCGAGCTTATCCGCTGGAGCTTCTCAGCAGCCTGCAGCCATCATGGCTACTATCACACAATTTGAATGTTCAGGCAAGGCACGCCCATCATGCCCCTAGGAAACCAGGATTCTGAAGTTCTAAAATGGCGACCATCATGGCAACTTAGACCAAGGGCGCGAACATCTTCACCCCAACAATATCGCTCATAGTAGGGAAATAATCTTGAGTCAAAGATTCTTGGTCTTGTAGGCAAAGAATATTCAATACGTTGATCGGTACATACTCATAGCAAATTTTCGTCGGGGAATATTTTGCACATGTGCTGTATGAGTTGATACTCGAAACCATCCTTTTCTTAATGAACCGTCTCTCTCTCTCTCTCTCTCTCTCGCTCTCTCTCTCTTCTCTCTCTCTTCTCTCTCTCTCTCTCTCTCTCTCTCTCTCTCTCTCTCTCTCTCTCTCTCTCTCTCTCTCTCTCTCTCTCTCTCTCTCTCTCTCTCTCTCTCTCTCTCTCTCTCTCTCTCTCTCCTCTCTCTCTCTTCTCTCTCTCTCTCTCTCTCTCTCTCTCTCTCTCTCTCTCTCTCTCTCTCTCTCTCTCTCTCTCTCTCTCTCTCTCTCTCTCTCATCCCATCTAACATGCCCTTCGAGTTCAAGCTGGTCCTGCCATCCGAGGCTATACCGTGACTATGAACAAGAACCGAAGCCGGCCTCTGAGTGTAATGAGCCTCAATCTGACTGAGCCAGTGCACTTCCGGGGTTGACTTTACGTCGGCTGATGCAGACTGAGCAGCCAGCCCAACTGTCCTGCCTGTCGCAAGTTAGCACGACTCATAATGGGGTGTACATAAAAGCCATGAAACCGCAATGCTTTTTGGCGCAGAACGTCAGCTGCAATAGGAGAGTAACGCACCTCGGTCTCCAGTCTGCCATTATCCATCGTCACATCGTGTCAGGTGAGGCCTATGTCGGTTACCCAGCGCTAGGCCCTTTCCCTGCCGAAGTGCCCAAACCGGGTAGCGGACCGTAACGCTGCACTTCGAAGGGACACGTGATGACCCCACCGACTGACCGTAACGCTGTACCTCGGAGGGGCACGTGACCCCACTGACTGACCGTAACGCTGCACTTCGAAGGGGCACGTGACCCCACTGACTGACCGTAACGCTGTACCTCGGAGGGGCATGTGACCCCACTGACTGACCGTAACGCTGCACTTCGGAGGGGCACGTGACCCCACTGACTGACCGTAACGCTGCACTTCGAAGGGCACGTGATCCTGCTAACTAGTCAGCTGGTCGAACGGTTCGGTAGAAGAGGACGGTCGTTTTCGTGACCGTTACGAGATAATCTGAGACTGATGAGCAACATCGGCGAATAGTATGTCACCGTTCGAAGTCGGATTCTTTAAAGTTGAACGCCCTGGAGAATGACTTTTTTGTGACCGTGTCATCTGTATTGCTCCAGCGAATGAGTTGAGACTGGCAAGTTCTTTGGCGCGTGTCCAACTATCAAAAACCGGTACAAATGCGAATAACCACGACACAGGTCACACCGATCTTCGAACATGAAACCAATACAAACGTCTCAAATCCTTCCTTTACGGTTCACCTTTTTCAAGACCAAAGCATCGCCGGGGATACCAGGAAGCTAAAAATAAGAGAAATCTGACGGGTCGCCCAGCGTGACCCGAGCGAGTCATGTCAGGTGTGAAATAATCGTATTTGATGAATTTCAAGAATTTCATCACTTTCGCCACCCGGGAAAATGGATGACAAACTGAATACTTCTCTCTGAGTGATCTGTTGTGGGCAATCTAACTCCACTACATGCACGCGTGCCAAAAATAAGACAAATCGTAGGGGCCGACCGAATCGGTGCCTTTGACCGCCATGCAAAGGTCACTTAGTACTTTCATGACGCCGCATAACATCACGCACATTTCACAAGCATAAAACATGTTGGAAGTGTTCTACCAAACCGGACCATACGTCGTCCCGTCTAAAATCTAAAAAAACAAACACATTGAACACGTTTCACGACCAGCCACTTCGGCAGGGCCGGACCACTTCGTGCCGGACAGCGAGCCTGAACAACACGGCTGGGTTCCTTTCCACCTGTCCCCGTATGACCAGAAAGGAATGAGATAAGTCCGTTGAAAGATGGCGGTCTAAACTCACCACGGCTACGAAGCACGCAAAACTGCTCGAAGCCGCCCGGCCGGACCCAGCCCAACACAACAGCAGCTGAGAGCCGTCCTAGCCCGCGATGCGCCTGCCCATTAAAATGCTGGGCTGGGCTCCGAACGCCCGTCCCGAGGTCAACCACCCCACGGCGGCCGGCGGCGGCGGCGGCGGCGGCGGCGGCCGGCCACCTCGGACCCAGTGGTCCCGCGCCGGCCGGCGCGAGGTGAGCGGCCGCCATGGCCGGAACCTGGGCCCACGTCAAGCGCCGCTGGACACCGCTGTTCGGCAGGCTGCTGCTGACCGGCGTCGTCGCCGGTCTGCTGGTGGTGGCGCATCTCTCCCGACACCAGGCGGTCTCCGGGTGAGTGGGCCACGTCGAGGGCTGGTGTCCCGCGACCGCGCTGCCGTGCCGACTGCGCCACTGCAGGCACGCTCTGTGCGGGCTTGCGGGTGACGCCAACGGTAGAGGTGCGGTAACCCTAGTGGCTGTCCTCCCCTGGCTCAGGCGGCCCAGGGTCGGCCCTTGGGTCAGAGTGTGACTGCGCTCCCCTGTCTCAGACGTCCGGGGTCGGCCCTTGTGTCCTCGTCTACTCGTACTCCCTCTCCCCTGTCTCAGACGTCGGGGTCGGCGCTGTGTCGGCGTCTGACGTACTCCCCTGTCCAGACGTCCGGGGTCGGTCCTGTGTACGCGGTCTGACTGACTCCCCTGTCTCAGACGTCCGGGGTCGGCCTTGTGTTGCGTCTGACTGTACTCCCCTGTCTCAGACGTCCGGGGTCGGTCCTTGTGTCCGTCTGACTGTACTCCCCTGTCCAGACGTCCGGGGTCGGTCCTTGTGTACGCGTCTGACTGTACTCCCCTGTCTCAGACGTCCGGGGTCGGTCCTTGTGTCCTCGTCTGACTGTACTCCCCTGTCTCAGACGTCCGGGGTCGGTGCTTGTGTCCGCGTCTGACTGTACTCCCTGTCTCAGACGTCCGGGGTCGGTCCTTGTGTCCTATCTGATGCACTCCCCGTCTCAGACGCCGGGGGTCGGTCCTTGTGTCTCATGACTGTGCACTCCCCTGTCTCAGACGTCCGGGGTCGGCCCTTGTGTACGCGTCTGACTGTACTCCCCTGTCTCAGACGTCCGGGGTCGGTCCTTGTGTTGCGTCTGACTGTACTCCCCTGTCTCAGACGTCCGGGGTCGGTCCTTGTGTACGCGTCTGACTGTACTCCCCTATCTCAGACGTCCGGTGTCAGCCCTTGCGTCCCCGTCTGACTGCGCTCCGCTGTCTCAGTCGCTTCGAGTAATCCCATGTAACCGTATTTCCTTGCATCAGGCGGCCACAGGTGTGTGTTCGCAAAATGAATTGGGGAAGGAGGGAAGGTGATCAGAGAAAAGTGAAGAAACCTACCCCGTAATGCGCCAACAAACGGATTTCTTCTCAGATTTGGCCCACCGTCTTATGAAAATGGGGCGGGGGAGGGGGGGGGGGGCGACGCTGAAGCCCCAAATGAATAGGAAACCACACCCGGTCATGGAATAACCCGTTCGTCCCTCACGACAATGTCTTTCCTTCGTCAGATGGCCTCGGGCTAGTCCGCTGGACCAAACGCCGACGCGCACAGCCGAGCTGCTGGCCGCACTCTACCAATACCTGGAGACTCCCGAGCCCTGCTGCCGCCGCCTGCAGCGCTTCGGCGGCGCCGCCAACGGTGACGGCGACAAACTGGTGTGCATGGACGCGGCGCTGCGGCCGCCGCCCGGCCGCTGCCTCGTCTACTCGGTGGGCGTGGCGAATGACTGGAGCTTCGACCGCGCCATGGTCGAGCACGGCTGCGAAGTGCACTCGTTCGACCCGACCGTAGGCCGGCCGGACGGGCCGACCGAGTTCGGCGGCCACTTCCACGCGGTCGGCCTGACGGGCGACAACAGCAGCGCCCAGCAGCCGATGAGGATGGCCACGCTCGCCCAGCTCCGCGCGCAGCTCGGCCACCAGCGACGCGACATCGACTACCTCAAGGTCGACATCGAGGGCAACGAGTGGTCCTGGCTGGACGGCGAGGAGCTGGAGGTTTTCAAGCACGTGCGGCAGCTCGGAATGGAGGTGCACTTCCTGGACCTCGAACACTCCCCCTCTTCGTACGAGCCAGTGCTGTGGTACTTTGAGACGTTCCAGTTTCTCCGCGAGCAGGGGTTCTGCCTGGTGAGCGCCACGGAAAACGTCGTCGTTCCGAAACGGTTATCTCTGCCCGGAATGACCGAGAAGAAGGCCCTTTTGTTTGAAATGGTGTGGGTGAAAAGCAAATAAGACTCTGGACTTTTACGTGCCACCACGCTCGAAGGTGCAAAACAGCCATTAATGAATAGCTCATTCCAAAGCGCATTCGACTTCGTGAAAGGTAAAATGTCATGTATCGTGTCCCTGTACATACCTGATGTGAGCTACAGATGCTCAAGGAAAAGCCAGTAAGAATGCTGGACGTGTATATATATATATATATATATATATATATATATATATATATATATGGATATATGTGTATGGTATCATTAAGTCCGGGAGAATACAGCATGCTATGTAATAGGAACACACAAATATTGAACTGTAAGACGCAAGCCGCTGTTGAACTCCGGCGAGCCGGTGTACGTTCAGCATTGCCGCTCAAAGAATTAGACGTCTCACAAATGCAGCCTCGCCAGATCAAGTTATCGCTCTCGCTATCCGAGCCAATTCTCAAGTTCACCCTTTGCACATGGATCCGCGTTCCACTCCAGAGTTTGGGGCAGGAGTACCGAGAGTCACTCCCAGCCCGAGTCCATCCAGTTTCACTGCACATGAGCCCGAGTCCGTCCAGTTTCACTGCATATGAGCACGAGTCCTGTAGTACGGATGTTGTGAGAATGTCTCCTGATTTGATACAAAAATGTACTTAGATAAGACCGTAGTAATAGCCTTATTCCTCGGAGAAACACCTGGAGAATGTTAGACCGGCAACGCCGCGGACCACACCACTCACGACCGGCTGGAGTGAGGCGGCTCTGGCCCCACTATGGCGGAATCGGACCCAGCGGACCCACCAGCCCAGCAGCTGTCATGTAGTGTTTTACGGTTTACTTAGTCTTTCTTTGGTTTCTGTCAGCTCGGAAAGACCATTGCAAAGCGAAGGTTAGACAAGGTTTCACAAACCGGCTAACAGATGGGAAAGAACAGCTGCGACGGTCTGGCTATCTCCAGTACCGGGGTTCATACCACGCACAGGGGCGGTTTGTGGTTGGTGTGCGCCCCGCTTTCGTGCCGTTGCTCGGCCGGTCGGTAGGCCCGTTCAGGGATAACAGTAGCAGTAGGCCCCCGGAACGGTGAGCTGTTTCAGGCCGAACGACGAAGCGGCCAGTGGGAATAAGCGGGCAAGTGAATTTAAATGCAAACGGTAATCGATACTACTACTGCCTAATGACATACAACTTCTTTCACTTACCTTATGCGGCCTGCTTTTGAACGTGAATGAGTAGGAAGCCGGTACAGCCAGGTTATAGGGGTACGGCAGGGTAGCGGCATCAGGTCCTGCACGTTCGGACATAGTCGCTCGTTCAAAAAGAATAAAGCTTACAACGTGGTGGGACCAGGGTCTACGCAATAACCTAAGCTGAGCCTGAATCACCCGAATACCACTACGCAAAACTTCGAAAATAATTATCTGTTTTAATGTAACCATCCCATGTAATGTGTAATGTAACCATCACATAACCATTCCCGTTTCAGTTTGATCAGTTTGGCCATTTGCCAACTGGCTAGCATCTACGAGCTATACCGCCACAGCTTTTGGAATTCGATCCCAAATGAATGTCACTTACGGGCCCAAATATCTGATATTCCACCAACTGAGTTCCTTGCCCCTTGTCTACGTGACATGGCATGCAATCTTTACGGCCACCTGCTGGACCACTTGAGACATGAGGTGGACCATACCTATGTGAAGTCCAGACCACCGCTGTTTTTACTGCCACAAACGCAAGTGGCAGCAGCTGAGTAAGGCTTGAAATGTGGATAAATAATGAGTGCGCAAACAGTCTGGGAGGCGTTGACCCATAATCTTGTAACTAATAAAGGTAGGTTTGCGTGATGTAATCTACCAAGAATATGCTTTCGTCATCAAGGCCCATCCGAAATGGCAACTTAATAAATATACCAAGTTAAATGGCAACCGTGTCCACTGTCTGGCAGTCGCCGTCCCAAAGCGTACGATAACGATTTTTCAGCCCCATCCCAAACGATACAAGTTAAATTGGTAGAATTAGTGCAGACTATTCAATACGATGCTATGTTATGTTTATGTTGCTTTTAATCTGAACTGCTGAGTTATGTTTCGTTGCTTTAAGCATGGATGTCGATTTCTGAAAATGATTGGGGGCAGATTCGTGGAAGTCGTCCTAAGGGGACAGGGCCAGAAACTTTTCAGATTTGGTGCCTAATGTTCTGGTTATCAGTTGTATGCATATATATATATATATATATATATATATATATATATATATATATATATATACCGTGCATGGAAGCATCGCAGATTGCATCTACTTCTTACAAAGGCACTTGCTTTGTGAAACTGACGGGATGCAATTGTAGTTTTCTCTTGCATACAAAAAAGTTTAGTTGGTGTATAATTTATCATTATGTGCTCAGGATTTTTGTATTTATTCATCCGTACAAGAATTGTCCAGCGTCCACAATATATGTGGGCACATATTCATAGCTCATTTATACGCAGGTTCTCGGTACACCAAAACGTCATCGATAAGACATATGCATTTAAGTAAATATCAGTGCCAACGAATGCATGTAAGATACTGTTAATAATCATCCACGCATAAGTTAGCAACATGTTTTTTCAACCTTTCCGCAAATACGCTCAGGCAGAAGTCCTCCTGTTGAGAATCCCTTTCCCTCGCTCTTTGACGAAGACGAATGCAAGCCAGCTTTACGGCTGGGGACAGTGTTCCAAGCTGTTGTGCCTCATGAAAGGAAAACTATCATCCGTTTCACTTCGAGCGTGTGAAAAATGAAACAGCCGTCATACCAATGTCATGCGTAAAACAGGTTGATTGTAACAACGTTTCCGGTTGAGTTAGCTTTTCCGTTACCACGGGATAATATCGACATACGTATACTCGGTGCTCAATGAGCGTACCGACAGAGAGACTCAGCCAGTCTTGGTAATCGTGGAGGGCGGATGGGGTTGAATAAGCCCTCCCCTGGGGTAAGGCTCCGCCTAAAAAAAGAAGTCACCGGATATGCCCCACTTGATTTCGAGGGGAGCCTTGCCCTTCTTCAAAGTCAGGTGTCACCAACAGATGCAATGCTATTTGTATTTTGCAGTCGACAAACTGAAGGAAGCACACCGGTGCTGTTCATTTTATGATGTTTCAGTGGACTATTCCTGAGCCGATAGCAAACAGGGGCTGCGCCGGAGCTTTTCTGGGTTGTACAAATATCCTGAAATTAGATCTTAGATCCAAATAAGGTCGTACATTTGCATTCATATTGGCCTATTTTGGTCTCAAAGCGCTCAACTTTGTCCACAATCAAATAAGGAAAGAACTTCATAGCCCAGTTTTGGCCGTGCGCGTTCGCAAGTCTTACAACAAAAACCCCCGACACCCGCCCTTGCAGTCTCCGGAGGCCGTGCCCGTCGGTCCTGCGTCTAACACTAGGCGGTGGCCAACGGGCGGAGGCAAACGACAACGTCTCTGAAGGAAATGCTTTTGAACGCGATAAGAATGCTTCGAGGGTGTCCGGGAATATGTTTCATCTGTGCAACTTTTAGGTTTTTAATATAAACAGTCTAGCATTCATAGCACCGCGAATCGTTGGTAGAACTAGACAAGAAAATGCAGAATCTCTATTTTCTTGTTGCTGCCGCTATTTATCTTTTCAGAGGATAAGCTCAAAGTTATTGAAGTTGAATACACGCCAGCGTCAATGTCGTAACGGTATGAATTGTTTTCAAATGCTTTTAGCAGCATTATTTCACGATGGCTGTTCTCCGGCACCAGGCGCCCACCACCCGGTGTTAGCTGCAGTGCTGCACTGCTGCACTCGGTATTGGCCAACGCCGCTCGGTCTCATGGAGACTGCAGCCCCGGCCATTGGTGTTCTTGCTGCTAAGGTTGTGAGCATGTAGGCCCAAAATTGTTTCACGTAATTTGTTTCACATGATGATCCTGAACAAGCATGAAGCCTCGCTTGTGTCGGCCTTTCTCATTTTTGACATCATTGTGATCCGCCTTGTTACACACAAACGAAACCCTTTTCCTTTTCCGGGCAAGGGGCCCCGTGGGTAAACCAATATGGTGCACATTACATTTCTCGGTCAGGGGCTTCAGGGCCATTCGGTTACAGCGTGGGGTGCCTGCCGGCCGTCATGTCGTTGACATTGGGGCAGGATCCCCTGGTCGATACGGAAACCCTTAGAGGGATACATCATACACTGGTCGCCTCCCTGACGCCGGAGGTCTCCTGATACGGCCACTTGTTCCCAAATAGACGCAAGGACCCTCATGGATGCAAACGATCCCTTATCGTCGGAGGTGTCCAATAATTGGCACAGAGACGACGGTTTGGCATAACGGGCCCCTGGCTGAAATGGGATCAGCAGCCCGCCGTTCGGTACCGGTATTCTGACTGACGAAGAGCTTTCAATTATTAATGCATATATTTAGCTATATTAATTATGTCAATACATTCAAGATGTTGTTGGGCATTAATATAATTTTGTTTGGCGTCGATCGTCGTAACCGGGTCGCAGTAATCGACTTAGCGTCGATGTTATGTGGCTTCGGACGTTGTAGGACTCACACGCCTCCGGGAGCAGCGTAAGTTGATTTGCGTGACTGGTGATGTCTGCCACGGCAATGCCTGCTGATTGCCGCTAGGCGGGGTGCATGTGCATCGTTCCCATTAGGTATGTTCGACACGGCTTGTGTTGGCGGTTATGGTCGGACTACTATCGCGATCGGTTTGGTCGGCTGGTGTCGATCGTCAGGTTTTTGCAACTTTTTCATCGAAAATGTATGTGAAGTAAAGGTCGACGCATATGAAAGGTTTCTTCAAATGTCGACGGCTAATAACTTTATTACAGTTTGTTTTCATTTTCTGCTGAGACCTCGTAGCAAAACAACGCAACTTGCTGCAGTTTCTATAGCTTAAATATCGCTGAATAATACCAAAACACTCCCAAAATGGTACAAAACTAGACCATGCCCAACCACAGATATGAATCGTATTATTAAAGAAATGCAGCATACAGAAGAAAAAAGACAGAAGAAAAACTCAAGCAAACACGGAACGACCGCGGAGCATTCAAAGTGGAACTAACTCGATCAGTTACACTAAGCTGGTCATGATACCGCAGTTTTCACTTTCTTTGGTTATTTTTCCTGTGAAACAATCATTAGAAACATTCTTGTAGATACATTCATGAAACATTCATGTAGATAATTCCGAGCCTCTGTTTGTAATGTCCGACATGAACTTGAGTTCCAGAAGGTTGGTGGAGGAGCCAAACTCGCTGTGGGGGGGCCAAATTGAATATTGGGGGGGGGGGGGGGGCAGTGACTCACCCAAAATAATACAATTCGACATCCGTGACTTCAAATATGAGCTGATGATTGAATAGTTTTGTTCTGAATCTGAGTTTGAGCCAAAATTCCAGGGTTCCGGAATCACGGATTTCGAGGATAAGTCATATTTAGTAAGGTTTGTGTCTAAGTCCAACCTCGAGTCAATTACTTTTGAACACGTGTTTGGGTGGAGATACGTCAATTGGCCCCCGGAAAGTTTTCCAAACTAATTATTGAACGTAGCGGCGTAGCCGCACCACTCTGCACAGCTGTAAGCAATTGGATAGCGTATGTTTTGGCTTAAAAACTAAATGTACCTTGTATACTTTGTCACATCGCTGATGCACGGCAGATCAAAATCAGGTCGTGGCTATCAGCGACGGCAATATCTATAAAATTGTTCAATCTGGTGTGGCAACGGGGTGCTAGACAAAAGCATACATCTCTGAAATAGTTTCTTAGACAACGCTTTAACTGAATTCAAAATTACAGCAAATTCCATTAACCTACGGTCAAGCATTAGCGTCAAGCTGAGGCCAAAACTAACGTCAAGCTGAGGCCAAAACAAGCCTCATTTTTATCGAACCAGCGTAAAGGGTGGCTTATGATGCTTATTTATAAGTTATTGATAACAGGGACCGCAACATACATCTTTTATGGACGTCTTACAGGTCAAGGAGGCCCATTGAACTTAAATGACCCAGACCAGTCCTTTTGTTTTTAGGAACGTACCACCCATCGTAAACCTAAACAAATTTTCAAATTCAAAAATCAAAACCATCTCTTAAGTGTTCGGTCACTACGATCTTATGAAGGTAAAAAGGTCACTGACCTTAAGTAAACACCAGTGATCTTTTCCTTAGGACAGGTATTTGGGTTCAAGGCTGTTGTACGAGGAGGTCTGGGGGCACATTACACACAAATTTTGATTTTGACGTTATTTGACCTCATTTGACCCGAAGGCCAACCTAAGAGATTAAATTTTGAAACAAATGAGCTCACACGGAGACCAGCCGACCCTGTGATTCTGCTGTGTCTGGCTCTTTTTATCTTTGAGGGGTCCAGGGGTTCATATAGTAGTTCATCATATGATATCGGGAGTTGAAATAGACTCACACCCGAGCGCAGAGTATTCAACCGACCACCCGGGCGCGCGTTAGTTGGCGAGTGCCAGTCTGAGTGTGTTTCAACTGGTACCTATTTGTGTTTGTTATACACATGTATATATATATATATATATATATATATATATACATATATACATATGTGTGTGTGTGTGTGTGTGTGTGTGCGTGCGTGTGTGTGTGTGTGTGTGTGTGTGTGTGTGTGTGTGTGTGTGTGTGTGTGTGTGTGTGTGTGTGTGTGTGTGTGTGTGTGTGTGTGTGTGTGTGTGTGTGTGTGTGTGTGTGTGTGTGTGTGTGTGTGTGTGTGTGTGTGTGTGTGTGTGTGTGTGTGTGTGTCGTGTACCACAACAGACGAGTTCGAGACCTAAAATCCCATAAGTCAGAAATCGATTTCGAATCTGATCTGGCCCATGCCTTCATGCAACACAAACCCGACAGAAATGCGCCATGAACAAATGGCCAACGCCTTTTCCTACTCCAGATGCACTTTTGCACAGTTTCGGATCCTTAGCTTGGAAACAAGGGCCTAAATATGTCACATTTGCGTCTTCGTGCAACGCTCTCACCAGAAAAAGTAACTCATTTCGCCACACCCGACTCAGAAAGGAACATTTCCTGATTGGAAGGTCATAATTCCGCATTGTCCTCCAAAGTGGAACTACGGCCGTCCTGAGCACAGAGTATCGCGCCCCGCATTTAACGGGGGCTTACCTGCGCCCTCGGAAGCCAGGCGGGCAGATGCAGCGTCCCATCTCATTGCAGACTCCGCCATGGCACCGGCACCGTTTCGCTGCAAGGTGTGAACACTTTTCAGCTGGTACGGCTGACACTTTACAAACTGGTGACGCTTCGATTTTGGTTTGGTTTGGCTTAGAGCCCTTTCCGCTAGTAGTGACCATCTCGGGGCTGTGGGATGAAGGATAGCGGATAACGGTGGGGCAAACTACACGCACCGGGGGGTCCTCCAGCCAGACTTGGCCGTCATGGGGACCCCTATCCATCCACCCCACGGGCCTATGTACATGAACACTATACAGAATATCGGTGAACGTAAAACCTCTAGAATAATCAGAGCAAAGGATCTAGAAACCTCTAGAATAGTACAGAACAAGGGATCAAACTAAAGTGCAAACATGCCCATACTTGTGGGAACGATAGGTTCACTGGGGTCTTGAGCCTTCCAACATTTGAAAAATTTGGCACGAGGCTTACACCAGTGCAGGTAAAAATCAAAAACTTTTTAGCCATCCCCCTTAATGCTACACAAGCTCCATGACCCTAATCATGTCTCACATTTCGTCGCAGCAGAAGAAATTATTTCATTGCCGCGCTGATTCGACTCGCCGGCGATCGACTTCGGCCCAGTAGTGAAGCATTCTCCCGACAGATGGTGACACCGTGCCGAGGGGCAGTGTGAGCAGTTGCGCGAGCAGCCGGGTCCGTGCGTGCCCGGCGGGCATTTGACCTGACACCGGCGGACCGGAAATCCGGGCTTGCAGATGCAGACACCCGTCTGAAAACGCAAGACGTGTCGGAATGCAGATTGCGTTTTTTTCGGTTACTCGGCGGCCGTCGCGAGCTTGAGAACGATCTGCTCCGAGTTTGAAAACGGTCTGCTAGGGGACTTAGGAGCACGCTCAAAGTCGGGATAAATTGTACCTCAATTTGCACTTTGGGGGAGATCGGCTGACGCTCCGTAACAGCTTGTTTGATGCGCGCTTTTGGGAATATAATTTCAAAACTGCATGACGTTAGAATCAAATGCGCAAATAACCAAATCGACCAAAGCAGGGCATCGAGGAGAGCTTCACATAGCTGGACTTGGCCTTCTGTGTAATCTAGATAGCATCGAGCTTGAATGTGAAGCACATTACAGGCAAAAAGCGCGACGGAATCGTATTGCTCACGGAATCAGTCTATCACCTTGGGTCACGTCCAGCAGTGACCACAGGAGCTGGTGGATCGCAACAAAGCTCCGGTTCTTGACCTCTTTCAGTGTTTGAGGATTTTATTGGTATTTCATCGTGCTGATGAGTCGTCCCTTTGTATTACGAGCTCAAAAAAGACGAAAATAGAACGTGGATAGACCTTCACACCAAGGGCCGTCCTTCGATGTGCAGTTTCGATGTGATTTACCCTAGGAGGGGAACTAAAATCATGATATAAACATGACTGACCTGAAATGGGAATAGGTATACAGACGTCAGCTCAAAAATGCACTAGGATATGGTATACGCCATCCTGATTTACCATTTCAGTTCTATTCAGTGGGATCATTGCGATGGGTTTGAATGGATCTACAGTTTGGCAAACAGATAAACGTCATGTCATTTAACCCAGTCTGTACTGGCAATCATCACGACTAACGTACAGGCCAACAAAATGGCATGTGCTTGAATTGAACGATCCAGGGGTATCTTCTGTCGTCTGCGTTCGTCTGATCAGCTTATGTAGATTCGGAGACATTCATGGATGGGGCGCAACACGCCGCCTCAAGATACTGATAAACGGCTAAAATTACGCCCGGAAACTCCGGGTTTGACTGCAACAGGTGCTAACCTCTCAAATGTGTGAAGACGGTTGGAGGAGCACTGGCACATGCCGTGAAACACTAATTTCGGTCCTAGGCAAGCTTAGCTTGTGAACGTAGTTTGACCTGAGAGTTGAACTCCCCAGTAAAGTATTTGAGCTGCAAAACTACACCTTACGAATTGCAGCATCATTTGAACGAATCCTTCATTCACCAATCCTATATGCCTATGCGATAAAAGTAGCCATTAGCTGGCACTTTCAGGACAGAGATCTCTGATATTATATTAAAAAGCAATTAAAACAGGCGAATTACCGTCGTCTTACCGACATCGGGAAACGTGCGTGGACGGGGGCTACATCGCTCCCAAAAATCATTCAAACCATAAGCCGCCTTGTTTCAAGGAACCATCACTCTATGCATACCTTAAAATACAGTAACGGAGGCTCAGACGTTTGGCATGGGAGGTGAAGCCTTTTTATTGTGAAGGAACATTACCTCCGCATCACATTTGTAGGTGTTGGGCTTGTAACAATTGCACTTGCTCTGGCAGTTGACACCAAACGTGCCCTGAGGGCATATCTCGTAGCACTTAGTGCCGAAGTACCCAGGTGGACACTCGCAGTAACCAGACTGCCGGTTACATCTGTGGACAGGAGGACCAGTCACCGGGAATCCAGAAGTGTTCCTCAAAGCTGTACGCTAACAGAAGGAGCCAGTTGGCCTCATTCACCTCATGGCTGAATACGAACACAGGTTATGTGCTGCTGGTCGCCATTCATAAAATACAACGCGGCAGCAGAGTACGCCACTCAGCCAGGCTCAGTCAAAAATCACGTGCAGGCTGCCATACGCAATGCCCAGTTTGTTTAGCATAACACCGGCTAGCATATGCAATGCCAAACACAGACACAACATTGCACACTGGTGAGCACAGCAAATCATCTTGACGGGTTCGACAACACGTCACTCCAAATTTCCCCAATCTGATTAGTAGTCTCAGATTTCAAAACAACATCACGAACCCATGAACCGTAACGAATTAATTGGCTACCTTTTTGCTCTGTAATGTTCCCCTGTTCCCAGTTCGGGACATGAGGCGACAGAAGTGCCTGCCGGTGTCCCGCGTGACCCGCACAGCGGGCCAGAGCCGCTGACCTGTTGCCGGGACAGGTGATGGGACAGGATTGGTCGCAGCGCTCTCCGAAGAGGCCGGCCGGGCAGCCCTGCTGGCACCGGTCCCCGCCGACGCCGGGCGGACAGCTGCACTGTCCTGACGACCACGGACGGCGCCGGTCACACGGGCGCGCCGACCGGGCACGTAACAACGCGGCGGACAGGACAGCGTCCGTTACAGAGGGGTATCGGACAGAGCATCAACGGTCACACTGCTGCCAGACAAGACATCACCGGTCACCCTGTGCTGCCAGACAGGACATCACCAGTCACCCTGTGCTGCCAGACAGGGCATCACCGGTCACCCTGTACTGCCACACAGGACATCAACGGTCACACTGCTGCCAGACAGGACATCACCGGTCACTGGTCCTTCCAAACAGGACATCACCGGTCACTCTGTACTGCCACACAGAACATCAACGGTCACACTGCTGCCAGACAGGACATCACCAGTCACCCTGTGCTGCCAGACAGGACATCACGGTCACACTGCTGCCAGGACAGGACATCACCAGTCACCCTGTGCTGCCAGACAGGGCATCACCGGTCACCCTGTGCTGCCAGACAGAACATCACATCAATCAGTCACATTGTCATGCCAGACAGGCGCATCACCGGTCACCTGGTGCCAGACAGAACATCACATGATCCGACAAGACATCACCGGTCACACTGTGTTGCCAGACAGGGCATCTCCGATCATCCCGTGCTGCCAGACAGAGCATCATTGGTCATCCTATGTTACTAGACAAGACATCATCGGTCATCCTGTGCTGCCAGACAGAACATAATAGGTCAAAACGTGCTGCCAGACAGGGCATCACCAATCACGCTGATACACAAGACAGGCCATCTCCGGTTACACTGTGACACTGGACGGAACATCACCAATCTTAATGTCACCGAACAGAATGCCACCACTCACACTTGGATCAAACGAGACATCACTGGGGCTCACAGTGAGACACCGGACAGGGATCACCGGAGCCACACCGTGATACCGGGCACGACACCATATGGCACCGGACGGGGGATCACCGGAGCCACGCCGTGACACCGGGCACGACACCACAGCACGCACACGCGTCGGCATGGTACCGAGCATCCATGGGACGCACCTGTGACGTGGTGACAGGTGCCGCCGTTCAGACAGGTGCACAGCTGGTTGCAGCCCACGCCGTACGTCCCTGACTGGCATGGTAGGTTGCAGAGGGGGCCGGTGAAGCCAGGCCCGCAGTCGTCTGGGCGGGGTGGGGGCGGGGGCAGGTGTCAGAGCTTCAGAGACCAGCAGCAGGGTGCAGAGCATCCGCTGATGTTCGCAACTGTCCTTCCAATCCACCACAGTAGAGGCTATCAGCGATTGGCGAGAAGGGGCGCTCCGCCCGCCCACTGGACGCATAAAGTGAGCTCATCGAGGTAACATTCATGTGAGTGCAACGTCGACACCGGGGCCTCATGGGCATTGCGTCACAAGATGCTCGTGCCCCCATCTCACCCTGTTCGGCGGGATTCAGGGTGCGTAGCACCGGGGACGGCCCGTCACCCTGGACGCGTCCCGTCAGATCGCGGCCCTGCCCGACGTCAGATGTCTCTGAAACAGAGCGGCCGTCTCAGGTCTGTCGGTCGAGCGGTCAGCACTGCCGCGCCCGCGCCCGGACTCAGTGGCCACCAGGCTAGGGCCTGCCGCGAACAGGACCGAGAGACGGACTGACGACAGGCCTCAGACTCACAGACGACACCGCTGGGGCCTGCAGAGAGCCCGACTCGGGTCGAACAGCTGGACTCGGGCCGCACAGAAGGACTTGGACACAGCGGCGTTGTCACCCACCAGCGCTGGTCGCAGTGATGAGCGTGAGCCCAGAGCCCAACTCACTGACGCAGGAGCGCTGGTCGGGGTCCAGCCTGAAGCCGGGCCGGCACCAGCATCGGAACGAGCCTTCCGTGTTGGTGCAGTCCTGCTCGCAGCCGCCCTTCTGCACCGAGCACTCGTCCATGTCTGTGGCACCGGACAGCCGACTGTCACGGTTGGAGGGTGACCGTTACGGCTGGAGGGTGACCGTGACGTATCGCGGTTAATCGACTGCATACCCGGACAGGGTATAAACCAGAGCAGAGCATCGCCACGTGGCCACCATAACTCAGAACGGAAACGTCGCTCGCCTTTTTGCTACTTTGTATGGGCTTGGGCGGCGGCGCGACGTGTGCTGTTTGCTTTGATGAGCATAGATTTCAGATGGCTGCGATTTGCCGAGGACGACCCTGGAATGTGCCCAACCGACCCTGGCATTGCTGGCCGTTGACCAAGAGATAGCCGACCCGGCAGGAGCACCGGTAGCTTCCCGGGATGTTGTCGCACTGGTGCTGACATCTGTGGGCCTCTCCCGAACACTCATCCACGTCCTGTAGAGGGCAGCAGAGTCAGCCAGACTCAGTTCAGCATTCCTTGCGATGTTTGAGACCAACACTTATCTGCACTTAAATCAGTCACGGCGTCACTCATGGTTTGTAATGTAAGGTTCATTTGACACAGGGCATTGTTCAAAGACTGAGCGAGACAGGGAGGGCAGGAGTCACAACAATGAAGCGCGGGCGAACGATATCAGAAACGTACAAGGGGATGATGACGCGAGTTGCCAGTAAATCCTGTATGTGCATCATCATATCACCGCTTAACTCTGAAATCACCCCTTAAACCCCAAAAGTGTGGGTGTCGTTTAGCGTTCCCCCTTCCCCGTTCCTACGCCTGCGCAAACAAGTATGTACGTTTCCGCGAGACATTCCACCAAACGCTCCCAAACCCATACAAAACTTTCTCTAAAAGACCCAGTCCCACCTGACAAATCCTCCAGCTCTGCCAGTCCCACCTGACAGATCCTCTAGCTTTCTCATGATCTCCCAGATATCTTTTCCGGCTCTCGCAGTCACAATTTTTTCCGGCTCTCGCATCACAGCCGCTCTGGTGCCTCAGTCCCACCTGACAGCTCTTCTGGTCTTCCGCCAGCTGATAACCAGGGTGACAGGAGCACCTGGGACCGGAGTCACCGCTGGAGCACATGTGGTCGCAGCCTCCGTTGCCGTGGAGGCACTTGTCCACCAGAACCGTGAACACGTCTGGGGAAAGGGCGACGTGAGCTGCAAGGGCGCTGCTTCGATTTCAGTGACATTTCAACCAATGGTGGGCCCACACTCGAACCAAACTAACCCAGCCCTGAACGAATTTATTCGAAATTACAACTACAAATGGTGGCGATTTTCATTGAAGGTCAACGACGATTAAAAATATTTTATGGCTTCTGTTGACAAGACACTGGTTGAGGCGTTAAACGTACCGATTGGGGATTCGCTTGCAAGATCCATTGCGTATTTCAAAAATATTACGAGGTGCGTGAGGCAGCAGTCCACAAATTCGCTACTGCACAAAGCATTCTAGACGATGTCCGTGCGGATGGCCTCGCGGAAGCCTGGGCTGCCTCACGGAAAGCCTCCGGAGTTCAGCGAGCGTCTGCCCTGGCAGCGAGCAGCTGACCTGGACGGCAGGTTCACCAGCGCCGGCCACTCACTGTAGCAGGTCCTGGCATCGCCGGCCAGCTGGTAGTCGGTGCGACAGTGGCAGACGAAGGAGCCGGGCGTGTTGGTACAGTGCTGGTTACAGGGTGACTGCTTCGCTGCACTCGTCGATGTCTGCCAGGTACGAGGAGAGGGGGGGGGGGGGCACACGATCAGCACAGTACGTTGCATCCCCGGACAAAGACGGACGGTCTAGAGTGAGCTTTCCAGAGCAGACAGTCTGTTTGTCTGTAGGACAGCTGCAGTGCTACGCAGCGTCCCCTATAAGCCGCTTATTTGCGCTCGCGAAATGACTGTCAACACACACAAATTAATGATCGGTTTGTGTCAAAATCAACAAACCTGCTCCTGATCATGGCCACACTGCATGCTTGCGTTTGCAGAATGTCACGCTCTAGGACTCAGGACACCCAACTGCAGGCAGTGATGTAGCGACATACCCAAACGTGTTTATTTATAATAACACTGCCAACAGCTGTAGTTGCATGCAGCTGCGTGTTGCTGCAGCAATAAAAGCAAACTAAACGGTTCTGATGTCGTGCCAAAATTCGTTCCAGTCGCCTTGGTAAGATAAGCAAACACTAAGGTTCTAAACAATGCAACATTCAAGATACCCGACGGAGACAACTGGACAATTTAAAGGTGCTGAGTCCGTAGACTAAGTGCACGGGCGTGTTTTGCAAGTCTAGACGCTGAATCAGGCGGTTGGCAACGCCTCAGAGAACTACCCGTTGCACGAATAACTGCATTCCCAGTGATTTCGAGTTGCAGAACAAGTTAGACATTCAGCGATCATTAAGGCGATCAAGTAGCGCGCGTCAGAAGTGTGTTGGGACCCGTTACGGTTTGTGCGTTCGTTACTGCATCGTTAACCCGTGCGATAACTACGCTGCGTATCCACATGTTCCAATAATGCAGTACTTATTCTTCCCACCAACTGTCTGGTTGATGTATCAAATAAAAATCGGAATAAATAGATAAGCCTAACAAAGCCAAACCGACCACGCTGATCCGTTTGGGAACTCAGCACACGCGTAACCGGTCCACGACGACTTCTGAAGTCATGACACAAGCATTGAGAGCTGAATCTGAGGGCCGATCCGCCTCGTGACACGTCCGGACATCGACACGCCATTGCCGGCCGCACCGGGGGAGGGGAAGGGGAGGGGGAGGAGTGCCATCCCGCGGGGGAGGCGGAGCTACCTTCACAGGAGGTGCCGTCCCCGGTCAGCCGGTAGCCGTCGTGGCAGGAGCAGGTCGGCTGGCCCGCGCTCAGGCTGCATACGTGCTGACAACCGCCGTTGTTCTGCGAGCAGGCGTCGCGCAGGCAGGAGCGGCCGTCCGGGCCCAGCGCGAACCTGACGCCAGAGCTACAGTCACGAGGTAGCCGGATCGGCAGCACGCGGCGCGCGCGAACCCGCGCCGGCGGTGTCGTCAGCATCGGAGGGGAATGGACGTGTCGCCAGGAGTGACCTCTAGAGATAAATGTTCACCTACTGACAGCAGAATTCACCCGTCCCTACAACTAGCAGCATGCTGATTTTAAGACATTACCTGAATCAAAAAGTTCACCCTTGCTTTTTCCCAGAATGAGAATACGTCGGGATTCCGAAAAACAGCTTTTGAACCTCCAAGGCGCAGCATCTTAAAAGTCTAAAATAATGCTATTTAAGCGTCTTGTCGCCTGTCGCTGTGAATTGAAATATGTCATGTAAGTCTGCTGTGCTCCTCGCCTCTGATTGGACTCGTGTTGAGTATACATCACGCAGGGTATATGATAGCGGCGAGAGAAGACCGCTCGCAGCATATGAAGATCTCAGAATAAAGAATGAAAAAATGGCTACTTAAGAATGTGCCGTTAAATCGAGAAGGCGCGGCACAAGCCGCATACCTCACTCGGCGTTCTGGGTATCCATTCTCGCATCAAGTCCGCGAGGAAATTATAGAAAGTCGAGGCAAGCAAATTTGTGCAAATGTGAAACTCCCTGCTATAGACGACGAGCCATGCAAAGCAGGTAATGCCGCCGTAAGATCGAATCGTATGCACGGCCTCAGTGCTGGGTAGCATGGACTAGTGACCCCCACCGTAAGGTACATTTAAGGTCCATTTAAGGTCCATTTAGTACGATCAGCGCTATACCCGAATGTGCCCGGTGGAAGCAGATTTGCCATGCATGTGCTAGTGGACTGAAAGGAAGATAAATGAGGAAGAGAATAACATTTAATGTACCCGCATGCACACCCAGGGATCTTTTATGCAGAGGAAACAGCGTTACATTCGTGACGGGTGTAATGAACACCTTGAAGACGCACGTCTACGAAGAGTACACACACCGCAAAGGAGCACATGGTAAGCTGCCACGCAGCAAAGGAACACAGCGCAACAAATACCAACTTTCAAATAGGAAATTGAGCAACATCTTAAGGCATGCTGACCTAAAGATCTTAGAATCGCTGTACATTTGTAATCTTATTCCGAGGCTGAGCACAAGCGTCATCATGGGACCTTGCTCAGGACCTTGGGACATGGGACCAGCATGGGACCTTGCTTGAGACCTTGGAACATGGGACCATCATGGGACATTGCCTAGGTTATGGACGTTTAGAACTAGCTCTGTATTCTTTGTGATGAACACCGATGCTCATTTGGAACTTTATTTTCTATCCTGATGCTCGGCACGGGTCATCGAAATCCTTCGGCGGCACGCGCAGATTTCGACCAGTTTTATTTTTGCGTCATCGTTTTCAAGGGTGTTGTTTTGCTAAACCTCACTCAGTCCTGGTCACTTGTAAGGCTTGTGAACGTAAACCCAGCTTGAAGCGGCAAGCACTGTCAATATAGCAAATGTTTGCACTACAACGTTGCTTAACCGGCACCTCCTGACACACTGAAGGGCGATAACTCAGCGTAGGAACTATGAACTCATGAGACTGAAATGGACCAAGATAGCCCAGAGAGGTTCCGAACGAAGCCAGAAAAGATTCATCAGTAGACGTAAACACCTCAGCAACCTAGCAGCTCGGGATAGACCAGAAAAGCTCTGTTTAGTATCCGGTCGCAGCTCGCGTAATTGTGCTTTCAGTGGTAGCTTCAACGTTTGGCTAAACATCCATGTGTTACTTATGTGCTACACGCAGCACTACAAAAAGGAACTTAACATATCATTTCTTACCTGATATTGCTATGGGTCACGACGTTGGGTTCAAGGCCCCTCGAGGGTCCGTTTATCAGCAATGAGGATAATTTGAAACGTGGCACAGGACGGACATAAAAACATTGCAATTTTATTATCACATAAATATGGCCCATGACTGTCACTGCACCGCTCATCGATATTTCACTTGCAGCATACGCTGTGGAGACCGACAACTTGACACCCCATCCATATTGATTACGTCGGTTATCAAACCGCACCCCTCCCTCCCCATGGGGCGACGGCGCTATCGCCGTCCCAGCAACAGCGGCACTCCGCGCCGGGCGGTCCGTCGCGCCGCCGGTCCGGCGCGGCCGCCGCTGCCGACACCGGCAGCGGCGGTCGCGGCGGTCGGGCACACCTGCCCGGGCCTGGCAACCGCTCATCGCGCCGGCGGGCCGCACACCGGCGGGCCGGCGCCACTGAAGAATGGTCGCCGCCAGCGGGCAGCCGGCCGCCGCCGCCGCCCGGGCCGGCGCTGACGCCCAGCCGCGTCCGTAAACAAGGCGTCGGGCGCGCGCCAGCGCCACCACCGGCGCCGCTGCTGAGTCGGTCAGCGACGGCGCCCCGCTTCGGCAGCGGGCGCCGAGGCCACAGGGTATCGATGGCGCAAAGCGCCGGCGACACGGCGTGCTGGTCACACAGCGTAACGGCCACACAGGTGCCGGCAACACGGCGTGCAGGTCACATAGCATACCGGCCACACAGCGTACCGGCCACACAGCGTACCGGCAACACAGCATACCGGCAACACGGCATACCGGCCACACAGCGTGCCGGCCACGCAGCATGCCGGCCACACAGCGTACCGGCCACACAGCATGCCAGTCATGCATCGCACCGATCACACAGCGTACTAGTCACACGGGGTGCCGATAATCCGTATCATGCAGGTGGTCGGAATCATTGATAGGAATCAACACTTAGACTCATTCGCCACCGTCCCTCGGGAACTGAAAGTGAAATGGAGCAAGCTGCGGCGATGGACCAAAACCCGTAGCATCGCGTGGGTTCGGATTCTGACGCATAATGATTCGAAGGGTTTGATTCACGGCCGCGTGTATGCAAGCACAAATCATGTTTGAAAGGTAGCTGCCAATACATATAGGACTTCTCATGATTTCGTACCCCGAGCGCTGCATCAGTGCCGACAGCGTGGAGCTACCTACGTAGCCAAGTGGCTGGGTGGGCAGCTTCAGCAGTAGTGGGAGGTTGTCACAATGATTCGTTCGACTTTGCGCAAGAAGTTATTTCACATTCTAATTCAAACCAGCTTAGAAAACACGCAGTTATGAATGCCGGCCGTTGCCAGCACTATACATGTTTTGCAGTGCATCTTCCTTTTTAGCGCAGACAACACTTGGCGCATTGAAGACCTCTAAATAAAGCTCATTCCCGTGGATAAAATGGGGATAGGGACAGCGTAGCATTGCCTTTCCTCATACTCCACACTAACAGCAGCTGGCTCCAAACATGACCAAAAAGCACTCTCTGAATATGTTCTTACCCGAGATGACATCGACACTTGACCTCTTCCGTGGAATCATCGCAGATGTGAGCACAGCCGCCGTTATTGTTCAAGCATTCGCTAGCTCCTGCAACAAAACAAGACATCAAAAGCAAGCCAACGTCATGGAATGGCCGACAAAAGGCGGGAGAGCACGCAGACTCGTGTAGACGTGGGGAATGGATACGGAGGTGCGACAGTGGTTACTCGCGGGAAACACCACACTCGATGGTCATGGTCCAGTACACGCACAAGAAGACTTGGATATCGGTAGGTAACGCAATACACGACGTTCAGAAAATCTGGAAAGCCATAAGACTGACCAGGGGCCCAGACCAAGCCAGGACACCTAAAAACTCTTTACGTTTAAGCCCTTGGGCCTTCGAACATGAAATCGAACCCGAGTTGGATAGCGTGCACTTTTCTTATGCATTGTCGCCTTATGAGAACCCTTATTACTCTGCACGTTTAGAATCTTTGTGTCACCTTACTCAGCTAGGGGTAAAATACTTTGTTTCATCCCTCTTGGAGTTACACAAGACACTCCTGACATCGACAACAAAAAGTACTCACGCCAGCGCTTAGGATTTTTATTTTATTTCTACACTCATAGCTTTTCACACATTCCTGGTGAGTCCATCTGAGAAACATGGCCCGAAAGCACGCAGAGGTTTTTGCATCCGCTGGTTGGTGAGCTCCAATACACTGTATTCTCGAAAGGAACCATTTTAAAGTAGTAGAAAGACTGGAAACAGCACTCTCTGAAAAAGGTTAATATAATGCTTGATCACCGATTAAACGTACAAACAATTTGAGTGGATCACACCGCTTTTCGCGGGTTTACTCTTCACGCAGATTTAAGTACAAGAGAAACGGTAATTGCATTGCATACAAGAAGTGATGCAACAATTTTTGGTAAAGAAGTGATGCAAAAATTGTGGCTGTGTTGTTGTTGCAACAACAAGTGATGCAACAACAACACAGCCACAATTTTTTTATTGGAATTGGTAGGATTGTAGCCGAGATCCTGTGGATGCAAAGCCAGCGGTCTACCCACCGAGCTAACCGGAAAGGACGCGTTGGGTAGGATGGGACGGTCCCTCCTGATCAGCTCAGTTGGTACAACGCTAAATTCGTGATCAGAAGACCGGTTCGAATCCCAACGATTCCAAGGAGAGAATTGGGCTGTGACGCATCCATGACCAAAAGCTGTCATGATCAGGACTCAAGAACACCTGGTGACGGCATGAGAGGTAACTGGTTGCAACGTTGTATATTTACTGACACACCACGGGAGGGCGATGGCACGAAAAACTAATCCACCCGTAGACTGATTTACCGCACGTCATGTCAGAACGAGATATAAACGGGCCAGACGACCACCAAAGGTGCCATTAACTTCGAGCAAGCAGAAAAGATAGCGGACTCAGGTGCAGGCCAGCAGCAGCCAACAGAAATTCACTCAACCTCCATTTGCTCTCGGACGGAGCTAGTATATTCATTCATATGACAGATAATCAGCGCCGCTGAGTGTTTCACTGACGGCTTCCAAGGCACCCGCGCCTGCACCCCACACAACAGCCGGTGCCTCATAAACCTCAGCCGAACTGGGTCATCTCCAAATCAGGACTGAACCGCGATCAAACGCGGAGGCAAACACGGAAAAACAGCTGCACCATTGCCGCAACTCATAGCTTGTCAGACCCAGCCGTCGGTAGACCTTGAACGGAGCTGGGAACAAGCGCAAAGACCGCGTCTGCCGGCAGTCTTGCGGCGATTTATGGCCGCCATTTTGACACTGCTCTGTACACAGCCGGCGATTTACTGCCGGGGCCTTTCGCGCTGAATTGATGCTCTTCTGTTCAGCTCTCCACGGCGGATTGAGGAGAGCGACGAGGACGCAGAGCGCCGCTCATCTGTCGCGACCGACCGCAACTGACCAACAGCAGGCGCCCTCCGACTGCATCTGAGTGTCACACCGACCCTCTGCCGATGCGGGACGAATTTCGGGGGGTGAGGGTGGAGTGGGGTGGAGGGAACTGACCAACAGCCGGTGCCGTTCGACCCCATCTGGGGATCGCACCGATCCCCTGCCGATGCAGGACGAATTTCAGGGGGTGAGGGTGGGCTGGGGAAGGGGAGAGGGGACTGATAGGTGCTCTATGTTCATACTCTCCCATACGTTTCTACTGATGTTAGCAGCATGGTGGGCAGTAAGGCGCATGTCTGTGTGCAGGCAGGGTAAGGAGGCGTCCCGGTGGACGGTAGTGTCCGTTCCGCCTTGCCCACTGCCAATCACGACGGACATGGGGCTCGGCTGGACAGTGCTGACGGACATGGGGCCCGGATGGACAGTGATGATGAACATGGGGCCCGGATGGACAGTGCTGACGGACATGGGGCCCGGATGGACAGTGATGATGAACATGGGGCCCGGATGGACAGTGATGATGAACATGGGGTCCGGCTGAACAGTGATGACGGACATTACGTCCCACCCTGTAGTCACGCTGGAGACGATACCATTCCAGACAGTGATGACAGACCCGCCGCTGATAACGACAACAACGGGCACGGCCACGGCACGGCGCCAAGCCGGGCGGTGGCGGTGGACAACGTGCCGGGCCAGCCCAATCGAACAGCTGCAGTGATGACCGACATGTCAGCTGACGAGCCCTGGCCGCGATGAAAGACACGCTGCTGCCCAGCCAGGCAGCGATAACAGACGTAGCACCCGTCGCACCCATTACGTTACAACAGGCGATGTGGTCGCAACGGAATGATCATGATCGCATTTTGCAAGGATCATTAACACGTCTGCCTTTCAACAGACATCGCCGGGTTCGGCGACGTGTTCAAAGTTATTGACGTATCTTACCAGGCACAACAGGCGTGCACCATAAATCATTTTCGCGCTGTCTGCTATCAGTATCAAGCGGTGCCATTCATAATCAGGCGCCGGATATATCGTCCTTTAATCCGACTGATAGAATCACACATTATGCAGCGGTAAACCTGGATTGTATCCAGTCCCCAGCAGGTGGTGCGAATCACAAACGGAGACAAACGATGCCTGGCATCCAGTGCCATCCGTGGGCATGCTCATAAGAAGGGCTGTCAACCGTGATCCCCAGGACGGCGGAGACTCGGCACACGTTATGCAATGATCAGACGTAGCCAGGATTAGCATCACCCATGATGCGGGTGGGCAACAGGGATCATCTGTCATCCTGGTACGGATGCAAGGACCGACGGCTGTAATGAGAACCAATGGTGCCGCAGTGGGAACGGTAGAGTGCCGATGAAGGCGATTTGCCAGGGTTTAGTGAACACGACGCTTCACGAAGCATTGTGAGCTATTTTTGTGTTGCAATTTAAATGTGTTTGCTTATCATTTAAAGAAGTGTGGTAGCACCATGTGTATACCCGTATGTGTTAGCGTCTGTTGCCCAGAGCTGTGGCAGCGTTAATTTTATTTCATATCCGTTATGGTTCAATAAAGTATCAACAAGTGAGCATGTGTGACTGTATCTGAAGTGTAGCAAATTTCAGATCCTTTGCTTGCTTTGCTGGAAGTTACATCTAGTCGATAACTGGAAATATGACGTAATACTTTTCGCTATGAATTCCAGCTCACAAGGAAATGTGTAAGATAAGAAAATGCAAAGTAGAGCGGCAAAGCAAAAAAAGGTAAAAAAGGCACGCAGCTCAGAACCAGACACCAAAAACCAGATGACATGGAGGTATGCACATTTCATTGCATTCATTGTCACGTTTGAATAAAAATTCTTACAATAAAAGGAGCCACGTACGTTGGAATGAATAATTTCAACACTGAGATAGTCGTCATCTGTTGCCTTTTAATCACTGGCTCTTGAAACTTGCCTTTTTCCTGTCATTTTTAAAGGTTCAAAAGCTTTAACCTTTCATTAAAGTCTTTAGCTCAAAATAATTAATTTTTTGGTTGAAATTATTGGAAATACGCTTTGGGATATGACTCATTATTCCACCGCACCACAAGCGTTATTGCACGAGCAAGGGCGTGGAATTTCACAAGGGGAGGGAGGCACAGCTAAACAACTGTCACTGAAAGCCAAGTCCAGCGGGCTGTGGAGGCGCGCAAGGTTCTGTGAGTCGTGAAACAACATCGCATGTCTTTTATTTCTTATTCTCATGTATATTCCTGACATGCCATGATTGTTAATGTTTAGTCACGTACATACCAATACCTACATTCCATAAATTCGATGCGGAAGGGGGCATGCCCCAAGGCCACTATGTGCGTACGCCCCCCGCCAAGACACACGACGTTAACGCGGGCTTACTGAGCGATGCCGTGTAGCTTTGCTTTGACGCATCAATTTTCATAATTGCGCGCAGTGTGCGCAGCGGCCTGTCATTTTTCAGGGACTCGCATGGTGCTGGGATAACTGCTGGATAAGACCGGGTGGACCACAAGACCATATGACCATGAGACCACAAGACCACCTACTGAACGCGGAACTCAATCAGGGGATATTACTCGGTGTGCTCGTGCTTACAAGTTCCCAACCATGCCGCTCTAGCAATTCGCTCATTGTAGTCACCCTGGCGCTTAGTTATAAATCATGAGCTTCTAAAAGGTTTAGTTCACCCGCGAGCCTCGGTGTGGTCTGCTACTCCGTTGCTGCATTCTGGCACATATGGGCTATGCTGCAAGAACTGTCAGCAGTACATACGTGCTTGTGCATGTTACCGTGGTGGACCGGCGTTACCGGTCTGTCGTTGGACACCATGGAAATGCGTAGTTCTTATATCCGGCCTTACTCTCTCTGGATAAACTGAGCTGCTATTTCCAGATTCTGGTACTTGCCAGCCTTGAGTGATTTGTGTTAAATGGTTATGAAGTCGATAGCATAAATTTACGATTGTTAGTTTTCGTTCATGGAAACGCTTTGTCATCTTTGAAAGTTTGCTCTTTGGAATCGAGCCCAAACCTGTGCAATGATCTTGGGCGGTCTCATCGGGCAGCGCTTGGACACGGTCTACGCTTGCTTAGGGCCCGCTTCGGACGCACTACGCTTGCCGGCCCCGAACGCTCCATCTTTAGCCTGTAGCCCTCCCTGACCGTGGCCCCAGCTCACGGCGGCCAACGAGACGGGGAGCGGCAGGGGTCGTCTCCAGGGCGGGAGGGAGGGGAAGACATACCCGACGTCGCTCGAGACGGACGAGGCACGCTCCCCCCTGACCGCCGGTGGGGGCAGGGACGGTCAACAGAACAACACCACTTGGCTGTCGTCATCGTCGTTTGTAGGTGTCACAGGCGCGGACCGGTCTTTTCAACACCGGTGATTTATCCGCGACACCCCGGAATGAACGCGATGGGAACACACCCTTCATTGGACTCTGACAGAGCGGCTGGGGGCCGGCGATGCCAAGGGAAGCTGCAATCTTGGACAGGATGGCGTCCAACATGAACAGTTCTAGGAGCTGGCGATCATCTGGGGATCTGTTCGCTGAACGCCTTTGTTGTGATATTTTTAAGTCGCTTTTCTTGAAATGTCTGGTGTGCGTCTATCAGGGAGGTTTTGGTGAAGTTGCAAACCGGTTCCCTGCGCAGCGGTTGCATCATATTCTCTTTCACATTCCATTTGTTGCATTGCCAATTGCCAAATTCGTTGCATTGCCATTGCATTGCCAATTTGCTGCATTGCCAAAATTTCGTCTCGCGCTATTCTGAGACTATCTTATAGTTTCTTATGGCACTGTGCACCCGTTACAATCATCAGAACGACGCAAACGACTAAAAAGCGCACGATAGCAATCACAACGAACACAACAGCCCACAGTGGGAAATTAATGCTGCTTTGAGACATTAATTCTCCTGATGAGCGCAGCCACGAAGTCCGCCGTCGCCAACAGAAGCAAAGCCATCAGTTAACCAATTAGATCTGTTTCGGGTGCTCAAAATAGTCAGCTTCGTGGAGCCGTGGACAGGTGTTTAGAGACGAACCCAGCAAGCGTCGAGTTCAGTCGTTATAATCAGCTCACATGCTTCATAGTGATCGTGCAGATAAATGCCTGTCTGCCTGTCTACCTGTCCGCAGTTCTTTAGCCACACGCGCAGCACAGACGGTTGCACGGATTGCCGTGCAGTTAACGCATACGGCAGGTTCAACCTTCGTGACGATCTACAACATATACTAAAGTTTGTTCGAAATCGTTGTCGATCACAAGGCGTGCAAGAAGGTGGCGCGCGTGTTTTGGAATTAAGCGGGGAACGGTTTCGCTTGCGTAGTAGAAATCAGTCGAACAAAGATCACATTAACCAGGTCGTTGAGGACAAGTTTTACTATACATTCCGTGCTAAAGCATGCTACACTATAAAAACCTATACTATGGCATCGGTATAGTATGGGTATCTAGGAAAACATGTCACAAGACTCAAGCAACGATGAATAAAGCATTTGCCAAGCGCAGTAGACTGTCCAGCGACGCAGGTGCTAAGAACATCTTACAAGAATACACTGCATCATTTAGGTGCGAATCACTGTCCTATGGTTAGAAGCAGTGCTACACCGACACCAACGGCACCGGCTCCTCGCGCAACGAAAGTAGCGAGAACTACGTCTAGATAGTGTCTGTACGCTGCCCCGCGCGCGGGGAAGCGCTGCACCGTCCATGTGTCCGAGCGATCCATGAAAACTAAAAACAGCTTGCAAGTGTTAGCTCGAGAGCCAAGGGACCACGAGGGTCACGGTGTTCCCGAGCCATGAGGTTAACACGCGATGCAGCACGATTTTGTTGGAGTCCGTGTCGCATTTGCAGGAGCTCGATTGACTTTACACTGTCGGGACGCGAGTCTACGTGACGTCGTCGGCGACGGAGCTACTGATGCCAACAATGACGCCTCTTCGCGCAGTGAAGCGAACGGAAGCTTCTTCTTGTAACACCAACTGCTATCGAAAACGCCATCACCTCAACCGGCGCCGCGGACCTGCCTGGCCGCTGCCGCCCGTCTTGCGCCGTCTTGAGGCTGACCGACGTCAGCGCCCGCCTCTCCCCAGGGGCGCTTCCACCGGCGCACCGCTATCAAAGACGCCATCAGCTCAGCCGGCGCCGCCGGCCTGCCTGGCCGCCGCCCCCCGTCTTGCGGCGGCGTCGGGGGCTGACTGGCGTCAGCGCCCGCCGCTCCCCAGGGGCGCTTCCACCGGCGCCGCAAATGCGCCGCGTCGTCGCGTCGTCACGGCGAGGGCACGAGCCGGCTCCTGCTAATGACCGGCCGAGTGCCTGCTGGACGTGAGCTACCGCTGTTTATAGTGTCGGCGGTGTCAAACTGGCCCGCCGGCCTGACGACCGACCCAGCGGGGGGCCCCGGTCAGGGCCCGTTGGACAAATGGGCTGCTTCCCGTGTGCATGTCGAGAGGACCCTTGTCGATTATGGAAATGACAAGTCGTCAGGCGCGCATAAAAGGCAGCAGCGTCCCAGGTATGGTGCGAATGAGCTCGGTGCACTTTGTTCCGATGGAAAAGGAGGTGTTACAAGACATGCGACACGCGATTCATCACTGCTCAAGCGTGTGGGGTGAGGCGTCTGCAAGCTTTCGTAAAGCTGAATGCATTCAAATGAGTCTTATGTTGGAGCCTGACTGTTTAGTGGATGTCTCTACGCATTACACCGGGCGACCGGACCAGCATGGGCTGGCCCCAGCACGGTCTGACGACTCATGGAAACAGTGGCCACACAGTCTCGTGACTTACAGACATAGCGGCCACACGGTCTCGACTTACGGACATAGCGGCCGAACGGTCTCACGACTTATGGAAAGAGTGGCCACACTATCTCACATCATACGGCGATAGCGGCAACGCGGTCTCACGATTTAAGGACATAGCGGCCACACAGCCTCACCCCTCACGGACATGGTGGCCACACGGTCTGACGACTCATGGAAACAACGGCCACACGGTCTCACGAGTTACGGAAACAGCGGCCACACGGTCCCGCGACTTACAGAGACACCGACCACACGGCCTCGCGACTCACCGAGACAGCGTCTGCCGTCGCCGGCCAGCCGCATCTGGTGCGGACAGGTACACAGGAAGGAGCCAGGTGTATTGAGGCAGTCGTGCGAGCAGCCTCCGTTGTCACGGTCGCACTCGTTCCAGTCTGAAACATGGCCCTCCGGTCAGCTGGGCTGGGCGGCGCAGCGCGGTGGGGCTGCGCTGGGCAGCCGGACGGGCATGCCAGGACTTTCAGGGGTGCTGCTGTTAGTATTCGAATTAGTACCATGCGAAGTGATGCGGGGCGTGCATGTCGTGTGTAAAAGGTATTAATGGCTGTTTTCTGACGACAAAGCACAAACATAAGCATTTATGCAGTGGTGATTGAGCCTCAAGTGATCGCGGAAAAGTGGAGATAAAAATGAAACGAGATGAAAAATAGCAGCGAAATTTTTATTATTATATATGAAATCTCATATCTTGATCTGTCAACGTTTTATATGCTCGTGGTTTTGAGCAGCCTGCATGACTTTCATGCAGCAACCATTCGGCAATGGCAATTTCAGATGGCAATCAAATATTTCGTATCAACGTAAAGCAGAAGGGCAAGCCCAGATTAATAGATATGGGGCTTATGCAGGGGCAGGGCATCACAACAAAAACATTTTTTATCGGAGCATTATTTCCCTTTGTCATTAAACAGCGCCAAACACGCAGATGGTCAGTCTAGACAGACAGGGATGCGCCGAACGTTAGACATGTCTCCAGTTGATGTAAACATCTCAGGTATGAACCGAAAATACCATACGCTATAACATAGCGCAAAATGGTATTTCGCCGCTGAGCACGGGATCTTTTAATTGCTGAGCTGCACCTATTCTGGAGCAGATCGTCCTAATTGTAAAATATATCATTATGAATATCATATAACTGAATCTGTGCGGTACATCCATCACAATGTTATATGAAATGGTATAGAAATATGTATCGTAACTATATATGTATACACACATATATCTATCTATATGATATTTTGGCCATCAACCACTTCCGTTGCTAAGCATATATTCATACTTGCAAGTGAATAGCATAATACAACGAACTAAATCATAATTTATCTTCATCGAACGACCACTATGATCTCAGATGCAAAGCATCCTCTCGAATACACAACAATCCGCTCAGTCCGCTCGTTAATTCATCAACATCACACAGCTGTATGGACGTTGACAGATACACCTATATCAGGATCTACACGTCGAGGCACAACAGCTCAGCACGATCCCGGCGTCCTGAACACGGCCTCGCGCCCGTCTCCGCAGA